AATCATTCAGCCTGTATAAATTTTTGTCCACAGTCAGTCAGCCAGTCAGCTATGCAGTCAGTCAGTCAGCCAGTTAGTCAACCAGTCAGTCAATTAGTCAGTCAGCTAGTCGATCAGTCGGTTAATCAGCCAGTCAGTCATTCAGCCAGTCGGTCAGTCAATCAGTCAACAAGCCAGTCATTTAGTCAGTCAGCAAGTCAGTCACTCAGTATGTCAATCAGTCAGTCAGTCAGCCAGTCAATCAGCCAGCCAGTCAGCCAGTCACTCATCAGCCAGTTGGCCAGTTAATCACTCAGCCAGTCAGTCTGTCTGTCAGTCCGGCAGTCAGTCGGTAAGTCAGTCAGCCAGCCAGTCAACCAGTCAGTCAGTTAGTCAGTCAGCCAGTTGATCAGTCAGTCAATCAGCCAGTCAGTCATTCAGCCAGTCGGTCAGTCAGTCAGTCAGCAAGTCAATCAGTCAACAAGCCAGTCAGTTAGTCAGTCAGTCAGCAAGTCAGTAAATCAGTCACTCATTATGTCAATCAGTCAGCCAGTCAGTCATCAGCCAGTTGACCAGTCAGTCATTCAGCCAGTCAGTCTGTCTGTCAGTCCGGCAGTCAGTAAGTCAGTCAGTAAGCCAGTCAGCCAGTCAGCCAGTCAGTGAGTAAGTCAATGATTTTGGTCAAAAATTGCAAATTTCCTTTTAGTTTGTTTTAGGAAAAAATAGGCCTTGAGGTAGTGTTTGACAATTTTCTAGTTAGAAAATAAGTCGTCCTAGACCATAAAATATTGATTTTAAACAGTGGCCATATTGGATTTTCTCAAAGGGGTCGACCCATGATTTTGGTCAAAAAATGGAAATTTTATATTTGTATGTTTTTGGGCAAATGGGCCTTGCAATATTGTTTGATGAACATTGAGGAAGAAAACAAGCTCTCCCAGACTAGACTATACAAATTTGGATATTACAAAGCTGCCATACTGAGATTTTTACACAGGGGTTAACCAAAGATTTTGGTGAAAAACTGCAAAAAAACTGTTTTTTTTTTGGCAAAATCAGTCTAGAAATAATGTCTGGTGATCATCTGGTGAAAAATCAAACCCTCAGCCAATCAAATGTGCGAGCAATTTCATGATTAATAAGTTGTTTTTTCTTGCAACAAATCATTCAGTGTGTATAAATTTTTGTCCACAGTCAGTCAGCCAGTCAGCTATGCAGGTAGTTAGTCAGTCAGCGAGTCAGTCAGGTAGTCAGTCCATCAGTCAGTCAGTTAGTCAGTCAGCCAGTCAGTTAGTCAGCAAATCAATGATTTTGGTCAAAAATTGCAAATTTCCCTTTTGTTTGTTTTAGGGAAAAAATAGTCCTTGAAGTAGTGTTTGACGATTATCTAGTTAGAAAAGAAGTCGTCCTAGACTATAAAATTTGGGATATTACAAAGTTGCCATGCTGAGATTTTTTCATAGGGGTTAACCCACGATTTTGGTCAAAAATTGCAAATTTCCTTTTCGTTTGCTTTTTTGGGCGAAATAAGTCTAGAAATAAAGTCTGATGATCATCTAGTTAAAAATCAAGCCCTCAGCCAATCAACGGTGCTGGCAATTTAATGATTAATAGTTGTTTCATAAAGTGCCAAGTTCAACCATTCTTTTTGCCAACCTTTTTTTGAGTTGTTGAGTTGAGGTTGCCACTTTGAGTTGCATATTGTCTTTTCATCAACAATCTAAACTTAATTCATTGCTTTCTGTTGTAAACCTTTTCCTTAAACTTTCTAGATACAATTGTAACGTACATAAGGTTTTTTGAACCAGAAATTGACTTGGATGAATGGTAATATGAAACTTGCAACAAATCATTAAGCCTGTATAAATTTTTCTCCAAAGTCAGTCAACGAGTCAGCTATGCATTCAATCGGTCAGCAAGTCAGTCAGTTAGTCAGTCAGTCAGTCAATTAGTTAGGCAGTCAGTCAGTCAGCCAGCCAGTCAGTCAGTTAGCAAGTCAGTCCGTCAGGCAGCTAACCAGTAAATCAGTTAGTGATGCTAGCTGTATAAGCCACAATGTAGATTGCATGTCTGATCTAAACACCAGTCAGTTTTACATCTCTTCATCTTCCATGTGAAAATCTTGAGAACTTTGAACAAAGTTCTAACCATATTGCCAACAAAATTTAAAATTTGTCATGGATTTCAAATTTTAAATTTTACAAAAATAAATATTATAAATGACATTTTAGTGATCAGCCCATTTTAAAATTTTTACAAAGTTGTTTTTTAATAAAGTGCTAAGTTCAACCATTCTTTTTGCTAACTTTTTTTGAGTTGTTGAGTTGAGGTTGCCACTTTGAGTGGCATATTTTCATTTCATCAACAATCTAAACTTAATTCATTGCTTTCTGTTGTGAACCTTTTCCTTAAACTTTCTAGGTACAATTGTAGTATACATAAGGTTCTTTGAACCAGAAATTGACTTGGATGAATGGTAATATGAAACTTCAATGTGTATTAATGTAAGCTTCCAGCACAATGCATGAATTATTTATCTTCACATTGGAAAAAATTAATGCTAGGTTGTTTCTCCTTTTTAAGCCAAATTTTCCCTTGTTTTCCTTCACTTTTCAATATCATTGGTTCACTGACAATATGGCAGTTTTCAATTTTTGCAATGACTTTGCAAGTGCAAAAATTGACACATGAAAATGGTGTAAAACTGCTTTTTAACTACAGCAGAACTTAGCTAATATCTATAACATAACTGTGGCAAAGCAGCTGATCAAAAGCAAATTAATACTTCTCCAGGAGTAAAATCAAAAATCTATTAGGCATGATTAATTATCAAGCCCAATGTTTTAAACTGAGTGGTTCTTCGCTCAATAGGATTACGAAAATGAATTTTTACATGCATTTTCATAAAATAAGATGAAGGCTGTGATAATTTCAGAAGCCAGTCAGAAAATCAATGTGAAACCGCTACATGTAACCTGCTCTCGTGGTTCATTGAAACTCTCAAGATAAGTTTCAAGTGGAATGAACACATAAAAGTGCTTTGGACACTAAATGTTTTCCTCCATTTTGTGTAGACAGTGACTTTGATTGCCTTTTGAGCTTCAAATACAGACTGTTTTTCCTGAAAAAGTTAGGGTCAAGTGAAATTTTCCAACTACACTAAGCCAGATGCTCCGAAAATAGACATTGATTCAACTCACTTTTTTTTAACTTCAATTCTTTGAGGTGTTCCCAATTCCGTTCAAAATCATTGCAACGTTTCTGCACAACAGCAACTAAAGTGATTTTGCTGTCAACTACATACAAGGCATCAGCTGTCGATAATTTTGCCTTGTATGTTTTACTTACTAATTTCTGCAGTTGAAAGCTTGTATTAAGAAACCTCGTAGCACAAAAAACCCTGCACAAGAAATCTCCACATGCCTTGTATCATGTGAAAATTGTAGTGGGTGTGCTCAATTAGCAACCAACCCCTTAAAGATGCACTTTATTGTTAACTCCTTTAAAGTGCATTTAAGTGCATTTTTAATTTTGTGTCCTGGATAAGATTAATAATTGTCTTTTGAACAAGCCAGCCACATTTTGTTTATCTGGTTCACTCAAGAGCTGGATTACAAAGCAATCTATACAGCACTTACGGTACAAAAGATAACCTCTAAAGCTTAAAATAAATGTTGAAGGCTTGATCCAGTCTGTTTGTGGCATAGTGCATCTGATCTGGATAAGAAAAATATGAGCCTACATAAGCAACAGGTTAAACCAACTAAATCAAGTTACAATCATTAAGATTACAATAATAAATTACTCTGTTTTTTTCAGTTTGGCTAAGTAGAGCAACACAACAGGCTAGCATGTTTGCAGAAACTGCAAGACTACTTCAGGCTAGTAAACTTTCATCTCACCCTGCCCAATCAAATTTATTATTTCAAGGGTTGAATAAAATCTCGGAATCTAATGGGCAAGAGCAGCTTGAATTACACAATGTCTGAAAAACATTTTCCACATTCAGAGACTGGTAAATTTGAGGAAGTAGAGTAATGTATGGTACATGTAAAACTGTCCAATTTACATGTAACTAAGAGTCATCCCTAGTCAAAATGACAACCAATTTACTACATGAGTAAGTTACATTCTACTTTGCCACGCTAGTAGTAGTACAAAAACGAAGGTCACAAACCAACCTATGAACTTGTGATCTCTATCCTGTGGCAATAATGTCCTTTAGTTTGCACAGCTGCCTCCATAATTGCAGCCACTCATGAACATGCATCTGAAGATCTGTTCCACCCTGTTCAAAACAAATTGCCACATTAATTTTAACATCAAAAGATTTCGCCTGAATAAGGGTTGTGGAACAACAGTGCCCAGTGAAATACCTAATTCCTGTAGAACAACCTGCTTTTAGGGGGAAACCCCAACTGTTCCTCAGATCAGGGTTGTCAATAAGGGCAGGAGGCCCAGGATTTTCCCCGGCTTCTAAAGGACATAACTAAGGGTTTTCAATAGTGTACTTCAGGCTAGTAAACTTAAACATCTTGACAAAAGGGTAAGGAATTTTTTTTAAAATTTTCATCTCACCCTGCCCAATCAAAGTTGTTATTTTAAGGATTGAATAATAATAACTTTACTCATTGAGGTTACCCACATCACATTCAGAAACTGGTAAATTTGAGGAAGTAGAGTAATGTATGGTACACGTAAAGCTGTCCAATTTACATGTAACTAAGAGTCATCCCTAGTCAAAATGACAACCAATTTACTACATGATTAAGTTACACTCTACTTTGCCATGCTAGTAGTAGTACAAAAATGAAGGTCACAAACCAACCTATGAACTTGTGATCTCTATCCTGTGGCAATAATGTCCTTTAGTTTGCACAGCTGCCTCCATCATTGGAGCCACTCATGAACATGCATCTGAAGATCTGTTCCACCCTGTTCAAAACAAATTGCCACATTAATTTTAACATCAAAAGATTTCGCCTGAATAAGGGTTTTGGAACAACAGTGGGGTGAAATATCTAATTCCTGTAGAACAACTCAGTTTTAGGAGGAAAACCCCAACTGTTCCTCAGATCAGGGCTGTCAATAAGGGCAGGAGGCCTAGGAATTTTCCCGGCTTCTAAACGGCATAACTAAGGGTTTTCAACAAGAGCTGGCAGCCCGCTAGCCTAAATATCATCCAATTACTGCGAGTCATTATTACTCCCTCAGTAACGTCTGAATCGAACAGTTGTTAATGCCATCCAGTGACGTCACTACTCCTTGACCTTTGCTTTAATTCATGCAAAAAGTAAAACATGATTTTCAAGTGGCAAACCGAGAAATATCATTTGGAAATGTCTGCATGATACAGAACTGCTTTATTTTTTTTAATTGTAATTCATGTTTAACGTGCAAACTACCAACTACATGCAGTAAAACTCTGAACCAGTTGTACTGAATTCTATATTCAAACTCGGTCGCAATCATGCAATGAAATAAACACACACACGGAACACTAATACGGTAGTTCAAAAACACAATAATTTGCTTTAATTGAAAAGAAGCTATTTCATCCTTAACGAAGAAAAAAAGAAGGAAACAAGAAAGAAAAGGTAACAGAATCATTACACTTGACGGTGAAAATAGCAAGAAGGTTGAATTACAACATTGATCTCAAAAAACTTTGCGAAAACAAAATCACCAGCCGCCGAAACCACAAAGTGGCTCTAAATAAAAAACCTACTGACTCTCTGCAATGATTCTTCATTCTTCATGTTTAGACAATCAACCAATCAAAATCACTACCCAGTTTTCGGGTAGTGAGTGACGTCACTGGATGGCATTTAAATTTTGAAATTTTGTAAATTTTTTTAGCCATTTCTTAATTAGTCTTAAATTTTACATTGTAGTCAGACGACGATCGAATAGTATCCCATGATGCACCTTGATTCATGTTATATTATCACAGCGTACGTGACACATCATTATCAGTAATCTTCAGCACGCGTGAAGTGAACATCGATCACAGTGCTCGATGTGGATGGTTTCCAAACATGTTTCGGTTCAGCAGCTTCTGCTTTTGAGATTATCGAGTTGGCTTATATTCATTGTGCTTTAAAGGAGAATTTCAGCGTTACTTTGACTAAGAAGGGTTTTACATGTATTTCACTGATCTGTCCAGAACTCCTTTGTGCGCTCGGTCGCACTGTAAACACAAATTAAGTATAAGACTCGGCAATTGATAAGCTTCGCTAGGTTCACTAGCAGAACCCAAGCCAGAGGAGAACCAAAACTATGACTGATCTATAAAGTGGTTCCAACAAAACAGCCGCTACGCTGTGAAGCTAATTACCAAAGGAGAATTTATTACAGCATCGCGCTCAAAGGAGCTGAAGTTTACAATGGCAGTTACAAATAAAATTTAACCTATCGATGCGACAAACAATTCTCTGAAGCACAATCTACCAGGTACTGACTCAAGCAACCATCAAGGAAATTTCCTGGCCAAAATAGTCAATACTGATCTGTTCTTTTGAATAAATAAAGTTTCTGATGTTTCTTTTTCAAATTCTGAGCAGGCCTGTTTACGCTGTGCCGGCTTGCATGCTGTGTGGTACCTTTCTTTAGGTTGTTTTCACACTGAAACACACCATTAAGCACCGCTCCTTCTTCGAATTAAAATAATTATAGAAAGATTCCTTTTTAAAATAACCTCTTTGAAAATACAAAGTGATTGCTTCGGCATAAATATTAAAGCGCTCTAGAAAGCGCCCAACAGATTGTAGCCTTCAGCAGGCTTTACACATATATTATGACACATGGCGTTGAAATGTGATAAAAGATTCGAAATTTAAGCCATCTTTGGTCGACAAAAAGGTCTTCAAAATGTGGGTACTTCTGGGTACTTCTTAGCCTGTACAATATTCAGGACTTCATTTTGCTGGCGTGACGTCCACATTTCGAGGATTTCAACATATATTCCAAAAAATCTTGAATATTCATGACCTTGTTGTGGGTCACTGAACACTTTGTGATGGGAAGACTACTTGAAACCGTGAAAATAAATGTTTCTGTGCAGAAACTTCGCTCTTAAGCCATTGCAAATCGAAGAAATCATGTCAAATAACGAAATAATGTAATTTTCTTACTTTGACTGGAAATCGAGTGAGAAAAAAGCCGACGAGAAAACAACCTTATTTCATGATGGAATCTGCTATGACTGCGATATTGCGTGATGCTTCTGGAAAAAGTGCATAATGGGATACTATTCGCTCGTCATCTGCATTGTAGTATATTTATTTTATATTGTATGTAGAGAGCGTCCTCGATGGGGATAACCTCTGCCGTTTCCTTTTATGTATTCTTACATAATAAAATAAATATTTGATTTGATTTGATTAATGGCCCGTTGATTGAGACGTTACTGAGGGAGTAATAACGACTCGAAGTAATCGGATGAAATTCAGGCTATTTCACGTGAACTGGCCACCTACTTTTCGTTGGAAATTACTACAGTTTTTTTTTTTACAAATAACATGATTTCAAACAGTTACTAAAATAGCCAGTGGTTCATACTGTAGCTTTATTGGCAAGAAGAAATAAAACAATAACAGGTAAATAAGAAATTACTTATTTGCGGTCACTGAATAAAAAAGCCAAAATTTAATGATGTCTGTGTGCTGTTCAAAAACTCTAATTTTTGCTCCAGAATGCTGGAAATGTATTCTAAAAGGCCTAGATTTTGAAAATTTTCTGGGGGACATGCCCCTAGAGTGCCCTAGAAACACGTGTGAGATTTTCCATCTCTTCCTAATCCAAAGCTTTTACCACCTACTTAAGACCTTATTGAAAACCCTGATAAGAAAACCTGATAGCAAACGAAAGAAAAATAAAACCAAAGGGACATGTTTAATAACTACCCAGCCTGCAAAAACAGACCTTTCTCTTCGCTCGTTGCCACTGGGGGACGTTTCATGAGGAAGAACGTCTGCACTCAGTGACAGAAATTCCATATTACCCTTCACTAGATGACATAAAATCTGTCCAGAATTTGATCATAAGCACTGATTAGACGACGGAGTGGTCACATTCTTTTAGTAAAGACTTACAGTGGAACAATAGATCGTAGTTAATAAGTCAGTCAGTCAGCCAGTTAGTCAACCAGTCAGTCAATTAGTCAGTCAGTCAGTCCGTTAGCCAGTAAGCCAGTCGATCAGTCAGTCAATCAGCCAGTCAGTCATTCAGCCAGTCGGTCAGTCAGCAAGTCAATCAGTCAACAAGCCAGTCAGTTAGTCAGTCAGTCAGCAAGTCAGTCACTCAGTATGTCAATCAGTGAGTCAATCAGTCAGTCAGTCTGCCAGCCAGCAGCCAGTCAGTCATCAGCCAGTTGGCCAGTCAATCATTCAGCCAGTCAGTCTGTCTGTCAGTCCGGCAGTCAGTCAGTCAGTCAGTCAATGATTTGGTCAAAAATTGCAAGTTTCCTTTTCGTTTGTTTTAGGAAAAAATAGGCCTTGAAGTAGTGTTTCACAATTATCTAGTTAGAAAACAAGTCGTCCTAGACTATAAAATATTGATTTTAAAAAGTGGCCATATTAGAATTTCTCAAAGGGGTCAACCCATGATTTTGGTCACTAGATGAGATAAAAATGGTCGGACTCACCGAACACTTTTCAAACATTTTGGAACATCTGGGCAACTGAAAAAGCCTGGGCTCAAATTACTGCAGAATCCCAGATGTTTGACTACATAGAAGTTCAAAGTAAGGTAGTTTTTGAGCCGCCGTCAAATCAGTGTTGTCAGTGATGTTTTTGAATACTTTTATTTAAAAAAATAGTACTCATCCTTGGGTCTATTTTTTTGGGCCCCATGTGATGTGACAACATATATTTTATGCAGCAATTTTTTTCCAAATTGCAGAAATCCTTCAAGGCCGCGCTCTAGAATAAACCCTGTAGTACAATTGTAACATTCAATCTGTATGGCTCAATTCAATAATGCCTCTATTCATGTCTCACCGTGTGTTCTTGCAACTCTATTGTGTGCAATCGTCCACTGGCTTGCCTTTAGACATATTATATGTCTAGCTATGAATCTATAGCAAGACAGCCAATATTTAATTGTAGAATATGTTCTTCTCTACAAGAAGCATTTGAGTTTTGCTGGAGCTCATTCGCAAATGAACACAACACTTAACCAAAATCGACCAGGAGAAATGTAAAATTGAACAAATTTGCATTTGGAACCCAAGCACTAAAGGATATAATGTGTAAACATTGATTTACATCATCAGTATGGAATTTCTGTCGCTGAGTGGCAGAGGTTCCGGATCCTTGCAAAACGTCCCAAGCGACAAGGAGCAAGGATAAAAGGCTGTTTTCACAGGCTAATTCCCTGCCAACTAATTTCATATACCCAGCAACTTGACATCTTAGCCAGAGCCCTGCCCCAGGTAAATGACTTCCTAGCCTGTGTCAGCAAACATCTCCAGAACTAAATCTTTTTCTAAAATTCTGCAAGTAACCAGTGAGAGTATTACCAATGAAGGTTCCCAAACTAACCTATTATAACAACTTGTGATCTCTTTCCAGTGGCCATGATCTCCGTTATGTCAGCTACTCCTCTAATGTTCGAGCCACTTAAAAACACCTGAAGATCTGCTACAATCCTGTTCAAGACAAATCTCTGTTCTCCTCTTCTGCCTGGAAAAGAAAAAAAAGGAATTGACGATTGAGCAAAGTTTCATGAAAGTGTACATGATAATTTTAGAATTCCAAGGTATTTTTAATGGTTGAACCTCTCCACAATGGCCACCTTGGGGACAGAAGAAAGTAGCCATAATGATTGATGATTGGATCTTTTATCAAATTCTCTCAACTAATTTTTTAAGAAAATGTATGGAGATCAGTCTGGAGAATTTGTCTGTTGATAATACTATTAAATCATATTTAATGTAGTTAACGACCAGGAGCTATGGTCCCGGGTGTTTTTGGCATTCTTTGGTAGCGCGTTGGTCATCTGTAGCGTTGTGCGTGACTATGTTTGCGGTTGTAGCGTTTACCATTGTTCATGAGCTGGAGGGCAGATTCCTGTCCAGCGGTATGTCGCTTTGGCGCATGCGGAGGCCACGTGCCTACGTTGGGTTTGCGTTGTACTCGAAGCTTTGTTAGCGTGGCGTGGCGTGGCGTGGCGTTCCAGTAGCGTAGCGTTTCTCTTGGTTCCCCTCCCTCCCTCCGCTTTCTTTCTTATTTATTTAGTTTTTTATTTTTTCAGGGGTTGGTTCATTTTACTTCCACTGGGCTTCTGGCCTCAGTGTGACGGGTGCTATAGTGGGGGGCTGGGCGCGGGGGGGCTCGTGGCTGGGTTGCGGGTTGGTAGGCCTGTGGGTGTTCTTCCGCCTTGGGGTGTATTGCGGTTGCAGCCCCCTGGCCCATGGGCACCCAACCTCCACTTGCGACGCAGGCGTTAATTGGGAATTAAAGGGGTAGAGAGGTGAGATAATTTGTCAGTGATACTACATGAACTCATGTACTTGTTTGCAATAGTTCGATGTAACTAGCAGTAGCCATTGGCTAGGAAGTGTGGGTGAAACAATTTTTATAATTATATAGATGAATTTGATTGATATCAATTGTATCAATCAATCGGTAGATATCGATGACACACTACGTTTGGCTTATCAATTTATCTTAATTTTACCGATTTCATCGATTAATATCCAAAGATACATCTGTTCATCTGTTCATCCAAATGATGACTGATTTCATGCAAACGGTGAATTTGTTGACAATTGAATTGGAATTGAGAGTCGAAGTATCAAACAATTATCACTTTTTAAAAAAATCTTATCTTTTCTTTAAAACCAGGCACCAGTTGTTCGAAAGGTGGATAACACTATCCACCGAATAAATTTCTATCCAATGGATTATTGGTTTCCCTAATACTTATCCTCTGGGTAGCGATTTATCCGGTGGATAGCGCTATCCAGCATTTGAACAACCAGGACCAGGTTTAAAATCGTCTTCTGATGGCCAATATTGGTCAGGTTTGTGGGAGACCACTATTTGACGATTTAGAACTGCCGCCCTTTCAAAATAATATCAGTGTAGCAGTTCCGGGTGTAGATACATCCCAGAGAAGCCAATGTATAAAAATTGAAATCAATACACGAGGAGCCGCAAGCAGTAAAATTTCTGTCCCGTAATCTAATCAGTTAAATCATCAAAGTTGACAGGTCTTTCTGATAATCAAAGCAACTGCTCAGTTAACCATTTACACCTTCAGTGCGAAGACTGTCACAAAAACATTTAAAAACACCTTCAGCATAATTTCTTACCATAACAGTGGTAGGGTACACGCGTCTGGTCGGTTTTAAAGAACTTGATTGTGACCGCTGTTTTCATTCAGTGGCTGTGCGCGTTGATATGCTAACGTTTAAACCAGACTGGAACGTAAAATTGTTGTTATAAAAGCAAAGCGGCCGCTGAGTAGAAACTAAACTGTCCCAAAGTATTCCGTTTCATTCGTTCATTTTGATGGGGCCTGTATGATGAATTTACCACACGTACGTAAATAAGATCAAGATTTAAAACAAATCATTTTTTTCTTTTGTGGAGTAAATTTATTTTTAAAAAGTCTAACCGGTAAACCACTTTCTTCGCGTACTTGTAAAAATGAGCATTTAATATGTCGCGCTAAGGTGCTAAAATTTTCTTCTTGTGTATTAGATTTCAGTATCTTCATTTCACGCCAGAATAAAATTAATTAGTTTGCACGCAAATGGCTTCTCAAAAAATCACAAGGTTTGTCCCACTTCGAGTTCACCTTCTGGAGATACGCCGGCTTGGTAGCTGGAATACATTACCGAGGCGAAGATCTGTCATTTTTTTCTTCCCCGTCGTTTCTTCCCATGACATTTGTTTATTATTTGCAGTGAGAATGCACTGCATATCAGTGGATTTTACTTCATGCGGCTTGCTACTTATGAAAGAAGAGTGCCGGATTTGCTTTGTTCGCCTTTAATTCGTTGTCGAATGCAAAGTAAAAGAACAGACTATTGTAAGGTAAGAACTGAAGTTTTAAATTTGTTTCCCGGTGAAAATAGTGCACAGATTTCGTGAAACCCGTGAGTATTACCTCTGTTTAATATACCTAATGTGATGACTCGTCACTTTTTTGATGGGTGACAGGGAGACAAACAACAATTTCTTTCGCAAATTTAAGTATAATTTACTTATCGAGACCATTTGAGGACGATTTTCCAGTTCGTTATATGCTTCATTACTTGGCGGCTTATTTCGGCTACGAGTGAGGAGTTAGATGACAATGTTTGCGTGCTATAATTACGCTTATAATTACTGACAGAAATTACTTTGTACTGAAACACATGAAAGCCATACTTGTTTAACTCTAGCAAAAAACTCTCCTATTGTGGAGAAACTTTTCCTAATGGTTGCACTAAAATCTACTACTCTGCATTTGCTCTCTCCAACCTCGTGGGAATAACCTGATGTTTACAGTAAAATCTAATAATCACTGCATTTCAGCTCTCCGTAACCTCGTGGGTAGAACATACCTGATGGTTACACTAAAATCTAATAATCACTGCATTTCGGCTCTCTGTAACCTCGTGGGTAGAACATACCTGATGGTTACACTAAAATCTAATAATCACTGCATTTCGGCTCTCTGAAACCTCACGGGTAGAACATACCTGATGGTTACACTAAAATCTAATAATCACTGCATTTCCGCTCTCTGCAACCTCATGGGTAGAACATACCTGATGGTTACACTAAAATCTAGTAATCACTGCATTTCGGCTCTCTGTAACCTCATGGGTAGAGCATACCTGATGGTTACACTAAACTCTGATAATCACTGCATTTTGGCTCTCTGTAACCTCATGGGTAGAATATACCTGATGGTTACGCTAAAATCTAATAATCACTGCATTTTCTCTTTGTAACCTCGTGGGTAAAAAATTGAATGCCTCTCTCCTGGAAATTTTGTCCTCTCCTTTGATAAAGCAGTAAAAGTCAGTTATCTTTATAAAATGTGCCATGAAGATGTCAAAGAACAAAATAAGCTGAAGTTTTCTAGCTAGCCCGAAGAAAACCTATTCCTGAAAAGCAGCTCTGATTCCTTTCTCTTAAAAAAGAAAATGCATATCCCCGTGTACCAGATTTTTACCAGCAGCAATTCGTCGATGTTTTGCTACACTGAGTGAGAACGTGACAATCACTTCAGATGCTTTCATTGACATGAGTTCCTATTTCGCACTGATTAAAGGAAATCTTACAGCTTAGTCACGTTGGAGAGCTTGCTCGCAACCTAAGAAATCATAAAATGTGAAAATTGAACTTGATTGCATCACACACATAATTTATTTGTGACATGGTCCTCTACACTAACTGGATCAGCTGACAACAAGTTGAATCAAAATACACGTATCCTCAAACAACGAAATTACAACACAAGAAGAAAACAATGGACAATGAAAAACCAAAGAGAATTAGAACTGCCCACATAGCTTTTGTGCAGAAAACAATGGAAGGTGCAACCGGGATCTTAGTCAAGCCGATCACATATAAGATTCATCAAGGGAAAAACTCATGGGATTGAAATTTACCGTGAACAAAAGCCTGGAAACTATCCAAAAACTGGATGAAACAATTCTGGAAAACACTACACCGAATCTGCAATAATGCAATTTAGCCTTTACGGTAGTTTATGAGTACAGTGATGAAGAAAGAGGCTAGGATGTTGCATTCTTGATCTTGTTGACACACAAAAATTTTTCATCAGCCCTCGTCCCCCCCATTCCTACCTCTTCCTTGTTCTATGGTTTGTATTTTTCAGGCAGTTGATTGCCCTCACCTTCGACAGCAATACACGTTTAATGAAAGTTTGAGTTTGTGTTTGTATTGGATTTTCAGAGTTTAATAAACAGGCTATGTGCAAAATTTCATGTAGCCATTTTTCTCCATCATGTTGTTTGTATTACCTTTTCAAACAGAGCACAGCACATATTTCATTCTGATTAAGCTTTGCCATTTTGTGGGTAGATTGAAGCATAAAATAATATAATATTCACTGGGTTGCCTCTCACTGAAGATAATTAGGAAACCATCAATAATATTCTAAAAGATAGAATTTGTAAGCCACAGTTGTTGATTTCTGACCACATGGAAGCTTTGAAATTGCTATGGTCAGTTCAGTGCATGAAACAAAGAAACTAAATGTATGTGGTTTGTATGACAATATTGAGATTAACATTTAAAGTTTGAAGGCACTTGGCATTGAATCGGAGTCTTTTGGAAATTTATTAGTTCCAGTCATAATGGAGAAAATATATTCCTTCTGCGTTAAGATTAATCATCAGTCCCAAGTTTGGTAGTAAAGCAAATTGGATTTTGGATGTGAAATACAAAAAAATCTGAGTTGGAGGCAAGAAAGAAGGTGCAATGCAGTGAAAACAAGTACAGGTGTAGTCCAACCAATTCTATCTCCATCAAACAGAAGGAAACAAACAGAATTTTACAACCTGGAGACCTGATGCTACACCAGCAGAAGCAAAGAAACGAAACCCTTTAGCATAGTATACTTGGAATGCTGCGCATATTCTGGTACTGTGCAGACGTGAACGTGAATTTTCTGGCTCCACACTAGGAGTGCATATTTTGTTTAATATAGACACTGCCCACCTAGACTATAGCCTTTGCTATTTGTGGGCAGTGAGAAAATATAATATGTCTGAATAAACTAATAAATGAAATAAATGAAATGAAATGAATGAATGTTGTTGAATAGATTACAATTTTAAGTTATTTAACATAAATTTTGCAGTTTAAGTATGGTTAGAGATTAAAATAATAATATTAAATGAAAGCTTTCAAAATTCTATGGGACTTCAACATATAAACTTCTTAAATTTGAATAGAATAAATTTTGGACAGGGCTCAACTCTGAGAGGAGCAGTGACTATAATGATCCATTAGTAGTAAGATTTCAATTCATCGTTTTATTGCGACAACGCTGTTTCATTTGGTCAAAGAATGGCCACAATCATCGGGCAATATTCACGAATGACCATTAAATTACAAGAACTGGCAATAAAAGCTAACTTGGGGTTGCTATGGTATTTACAAACAGCTGCTACAGTAAAAGTGAAGTTATGGTTGCTATGAGATATAAAAACAGTAAAAAATAGATGCTACGTGACATTTAGTACTGGCGATGAAAGGCATAGTAAAGGTGATAAAATAAATCGTGTGTTGCAGAAAGATTAAAGGATGTTAGCATCTTTATCATCTTGAGCATTCCTTATATTATGTTTTATGTAAAATACTGCTTTTGAAGTCGAGGAAAAGCAACCGAAAGCGATATTTCCTACACAGTTCTATAAACTCGAACTCAGTGTCATCGCTAACATAGAAAGCTGAAAGTTAAACAAAACGATCTATAGTTTCAAATGGGGGATTGTGTCCATCGTTTGGATCGTTTCATAGTACAGTGCCATAGTCCTAAAAAGACAAACCGTAGAAAGCGTTGAATTCCTTGCATAATGGTTGTCAATGATTCCAATGAAAACAAGGCAACTATTTATTACTTTATAGTAGTTGAAAAAGTCTTGGGTGAAAATATTCCTTACTTTACTTTATATGAGCGCTTAAAGTTGCCAAAGTTGCATGTGTGGTCTAAAATTACACAGCTCATTTGGCAAACAAACTACATTCAGTACCCTTTTCTAATTGAAGCGCTACTTATTCTTATTAAAACTGTACATGTTTCCTCACTTAACTGGTTACCTTTGCACAAGATAATTTTACATATACAATGTACTGTTTCAAAATTCACTGATCTTTACTTCACAAAACGAGCCGTGGTGCAGTACACATTTTAAAACACCATGAACTGAATGAAGGTATTTTTAGCTTATCTTTTTTGCTTACACTTGTTATTACCTAGCTTTTTCTGCAGTCATTGTAAACAAGCAAGAACAAAACAGTTTTAGGGTTTTGAATGTACAAAACTATGCACCTAATTATTCTTGGTTTTCACATGACGTCACCAAAATTCAAACTAAGAAACTATCGCTTCTTCTGAGTTTCTACTTTCATGTGATACTAGAGCACCTTAAAACCTTTATACAAAAAAATTTTCAGTTCAAAAGGGTTCTTTATTTTGCGATGCAGGACGCTTGAATTTCAAGGCTTTTGCATGATGCGGCATTTAGCTGGCAGCTGGGAAAGCTCTTATGTGGGTTAAAACATTATGGATTTTGGAGATTTTGCTATCTAAACATTCCTTGTGTTAGAATGAATATTACTTTAACCTTTATGAGTTCCTCAAGCGGAGAATTCACGCACGCTAGTAGGAAAACTCAAAAACAGATGTTTCTGTTGGTTTCAAGCGCCATATTTGTGCCCCTGAACGAGCCACAAACATGGCGTCTCCATACAAAGCTTTATAAATTTGGGTAAAACGTTTTTCGAATATCTAGCATATGAAATATTGCACAGACCTGATTCTTGGCAAGGCTTTTGTATATTTATCTTCTTTCATTTCTCAGATTCTAGACTTTTCTGTATTAAAAGGTTTCCATTTTTACTTCTGCTTTCTCACATGAGTGAAAACCGAGAATAGATTATCGATGAATCACTGACAAATACAGAAAGCGGCACAGCTATTCTGATTGGCGTTTTATTGTACATAATAAATTTTCGACTGAAATTCAGTTTGACTGTACTGTGTAAGGCCCAATTCAACCCTCGAAACTTTCATACACCAAACTCAAGACCTATTTAGGCCAACCAAAATGATACAAGTTTGATGGTTGACTCAGACGTCAAAATAAATTAGTGGGACTAAATTCATTTTCACAAGGTACAATGGTCTACAATTCTTACCAGTAATTTATGCATTAGGTTCAGCGCATAAGAAGTTTGATGTTTGAGATGAAGGTGCTCCATGACAATCGAAATTCCATGTGGGCCATTCAAACTTAATTCATGGTTTGACCCAAACTAGATATGTCGGAATTAACCCTTGATCTACCTCCAGCGGCTGCTGGAGGTAGATCAGGCGGCTATGACAACATAAATATATATAACTAAAGATATGAATGGTAGGATTTCCGTATAACTCGATATTTACAGTACATTTTAGCTCATTATGCATGTAGTTTTCATACAGTGTCCATAATTATATAGAATCGAAACATGTAAACATGTTGAATGTATCGGGATTATAGAGAAATCTTACCAGAGATTTTCTTACTAAACAAAGCAACGAATGTTTCTAAGCAGTTGTTTAAGCTTACCTGTATACATCATTGTAATAGCCAAGCAACGTTATGGTACGGTCGGACACAGCGAAACAAGTGGTCAACATTTCAGCGACTTGCAGTTACGCCGGCAGATAAGTTGGTCCAAAAATGACACAGAACGAGGATCGAAACATTTCCAAAGGTAGTAATCATAGGAAAGTCCATTTTGCGCGAGATCTTGACCAATAAATGTAGCATTTTCCATCAGCAGTCGACGATCATGTCTTCCATATAGCCATCGTTGGGTTCTCGTTCCCAGAATCCTCGCGGCACTGTAGATTTCCCGCGAATCGCGCGATTTTCAGAAAAAATCGCGCAATTTTCGTTTTTCGCAGTTATCCACAGACTTTGGAACCACGAACGCGCTTAGATCGGATCTGTACATCATCGGATCGGATCTGTACATCAGACACCTCTAGGAACAAAGTTTTCCATTGTAGCCACATTTCGTTAGGGTTACGTACTACCTTGAGATCATGCCATGGTTGACCTAAAATATCAGAGCGAAAGCTGTTACGATTGAAATCACGCTTAACTATTGTCTATATGTAATAGTGCTACAGTAATTCCCTTGATAACAGAGGGTGACAAAATCTTGCGGTAAGGGACGGACAATTAGAAAACTTATGGGGGGGGGGAGCGGGTGAACTACAAAAAGAATATTCGTGCAAGGGACAGTTAAATGAAAAAAATTCATGCACGCCAATTAACCCCCAAAAATATTCGCGCTAGGGCCTATGGCTATAACACGAAAATAACTGAAAACGCAGCAAAAATAAAAATACTATAAAGGTAACGGCAACACTCCTGGCGCTTACATTATGTTTTCTACAACATCAATACCTAAAGAACATTGTCAAAAAATGGTCTCCTTTAGGGGTCAAAAAACGTTGGCCCACGCCCAGGTTGGTTTTCTTAAGGGGTTTTATTCAAAATTTCCGATGAGCATCCCCACCCCTTTCATATGGGAGTCCCCCCCGGGTTAAAAATTTACATATTGCGTGACAGCGTGACACGTCACAAAAAATAGCAAAAACCCTGTCAGGGGAGGCAGCTCTAGTGGCCCTTTTCCCGTTTAACCTCTGGGAGAGAGTTAGCCATTTTACCTCCGGCGCGAGGGTTCCCATTTAACCTCTGGGACCGAGTTAATAGGTCGAACACCTCCCTGCACTTGCTGGGCCGGAGTTTGGGGTCCGTCAGCAAGCTCGACAGTCCCCCCCCGGTAAGTCAATTGTCTCCGCTGCACGGGTTAGTCAAGCAGGTTTCAGAGAGTTGGCCATCTCTCACCACCCTATAACCCCACCAGCACAATCAACCTGACTTTGCCTTAGAAAATTGACCTATATATTTGGATCGACAACTCATTTCGCTCACTTATGGTTTAAAACACTCATGGTCCGAACGGTTCTTCACAGACGCATGCGTGTTAGGCCCAAAAAAAATAGTTAGGAAGATTCGTTGATTCATACACAACATCCTCATTCACTCAGGTCCGTTCAGTTCCGCTATGCAAAATATGGCTATCATTTGTAAAAGTTGTTTTTCCTCAAAATCTCGGGTTGCTCAGCTTTCCACAAACTCCTGTTACAAAAACGCGCCTCAGACAGGTGCTCAGCATTTTATAAGATTGAATTTGCTATTAACTGTGCATGCCATTGGAGACATACATTTTCCACCCTTTCGACGGCTCAAAAAATATCTAATATCATATGATAATGATCGATCCGAAAACTGTTAAGGTCACAAGCAATGAAACAGCTTTTTGTTCCACACAACCACGCAAACGGCATTCTGAGAAATTTCAGTAGAGGTACATGTATACGCTTGGCGTGGTGTACGATGAGCCCCCCACCCTCCCCGCCGGCCCCAGTTACGTTTAAAAATGCTCCGCTGCCCCTGAACTGTGTCCAAAGAATCCTTTGTATTCGTAAAGGAAAAACGTAAGAAGGTCTGGTGATTCAGTCGAGAACTGCCGATTCTGTGCGGCGGGACCCTGGTGTCTTCCTCTTCAGGAGCACTCAGTGAATGCTTTTTTTACAATGCAATTTTTTTAATAGTCAAAGATTTCCCGTTGTAAAAATTGTTCCTCGTAAAATTTCGCTATCGAGAAGACCATGAAATAAAATGGAGTTCTGTAAACCCGTCTAGTCAGACCAATTTGTTGTAAAGTTTAATTAGAGTTGAATAATTATTTTTTCTCGTTTAGATTTTGTTTACTTCACATTTAAAGAAAGCTTGTTTCTTCACTAGCTATTTGTTCAATAACACAAAAAGGCGGGAAAACAATCATTAGTGATTTATTTCCAGTGTATATTCAGTAAAGATGGGAAGGAAAGCCATTTTATTTTAGTTTTAATTATTTTGGATGAAGAGAACACGTTTTTTGTGTCTATCAAAATTGAGTCTTGTTTGAGGAGTTTCGAAAAAAATAACATAATAGAACGCGCTGGTTGCAAAACACAAAAGAAAGTTATAATTTTTCAGATTCGACTTACGTTTTGTTTTTACAGTAATATTGCCTGCAACTGCTGAAAAGAAGTTCATGTTGCATCAATTTTACACGTATTTTTCGTTCCCTTTCCATGGGACAGAGAAAACAAAAACGTCACATAAGTCAGAAAATAGTGGACATTGTTCATATGCGCAAAAAAATACAGGTCAAATGTAGACAAACGTTTTTATTTAACATTTTCATATAGCCCATAATACACGTTTATCCCCCATCCCCCTCCTTCACATTTTCCTCAATTTTACGTAAAACTTGGGGGGAGAACAGTGTTTATTTGACCTCGTCCACACACATACGGTTATTTTAGAGAACGGAGACACAAAAATGATAAAACAATGGAAATACGATAGCATACCATACTGGGCATGCGCTGTATGATGTATGACATCTTCGTATTAAAACATCTCCTTTTTCATCCGTTCTCATGCTGGAGACCATTTCCATGAGCATACCTGTGTTTTTGGTACCCGAAACACCATTTACGCGTGAACCCGAAGGCTTAAATGGGGGGATAGAGGAAATCTCTGTTTTCAAAAATATCAAGGATCCTTAACTTTTTGTTTGTTAGTTGTTTGTTTGCTTGTTTTTTTCTCAGAAGAACACAGTAAGCATGATCGGTGGCTGAATAGTCTTACTATTCTGCAAACAGTGCACAGCTGAGTCCCTTTTAACTCCATACTTAGGCCATCATTTATGTTGCCTCAATGTTCTGTTTCAAAGCAAGGCTAGGTGCGAAGCGATTAGCCACATGCGCATCTCCCATATACTGACTGATATACTATTTATTGTGTAAGACTCCAAATAAATAAAACATTATTAATTTTATGTATGTCTCATAATGCACCTTGTTCCCCCTACCCCCTCCCCCCCACAAAAAATTTGGATAACCTTTGTTTTTCTTTTCTCCTGAGTATTGCAGCCGTCCCAAGAGAAACTGAAGAAAATGATTGGGTAAAATGTGGGGGGAGTGGGGGCAAACAGGGTGTATTATGGGAGACGTGCCAATGGCGAATTGATCTGAAAATGATTTTTATTCTTCTACAACTAAAACTCATTTTCACAAGAATTGTTTTGTACACTTTGGAAGTGAGAGTTTTTGGAACTCAGAAATGGCATGTTACCTTAAATCCCAAGCCCCCCTGTACCTTCTTATGCAACTAGATAAACAACAACACTAACAAAAAACTTTAAAGAACAGGAGACCATCCCGGCCCCAAGACGAAAACCAAAACAAGCTTAACCGATCATTAATTGTAAGGAAACTGCGTATGAGGCCATTTTGATTGAAAGACACTGTTAAGTACAAATAATCAGATAAACAGGTAAACAAACAAAGAAAAAATAGAAAATAATCCAGTAATTTTAAGCTACATGCAGCATTAAAGTTGATAAGCCAATAGAAAAATATCTTAATACGGCTGTTAATACGGACACTGAGAGACCATAGGAGGTCTCGGTATTAAAGGAGTGTCTGTATAAAGCAGGTTGAATTTAGACAAAATTTAAGGGCTTTCTTTTCCCAGGGACAAAGCAGACTGTTCCTTATGTATGTATGATGAGGTGTCCGTAAGCGGGTGTTGGTAAAGTGGAATTTGACAATTGCTAGTTAAATAAATTTGTTAAGCTAAGTGATTTGTGTGCCTTTGTTGATTTTTATTATTATCTTTAAAAGCATTTTTGCCATCTGTTTCATTCCGAGTTACCAGTCATTTCTTTTTTAAGTGCGCCATGTTTATGGCCAAAATTTGGCCATGAACTGTCTGAAACTCTGAAATAAAAAAAAAAACATGGAAATGCAAATTGAAATTAGGGTGTAAATCACTCATGATCAGCTCGCGTAAAAAATTTTAAGAATGCAAAACAGTTGTTTTTTTCTCATAATTGGTTTTGCAAAGGCGCGAAGTGGCAAGAGAAAAAACCTATCGTATTCAAATATTCGGGCTGTTTTGCAGCCTACTTTGGCTCAGGGCCTGTTTACATAAAAGTTGTCAGACCCCAGGTAGGTGAGGTAACGCGTGGTGGGTTACCCCATCTAACACGTAAACATGATCACATTAAAATGAGAGATTATATGGGCAGGCGGGTTACCTAACCTACCTGGGGTCCCCCACCTCCATGTAAACAGGCCTTTAGACATGTTTTCATCTTGTTTGTTTTATTTCGTTTAATTTTTTTTCCTTTTCCAATACAACTTTTTTGAACAAGTCATACACATGTACAGTTAACATTCACAAAAGACAGTCTGCAACAAAACGAAAACTACAACTTGAAGCTGACAAAAAAGAAACCTGACACAATAAAAATATTGGTGGTAGCTAAAATTAAATGGGAGCACAATCAGTTAAGTAAACAGAATTTCATACCGTAATTAAAAGAGAAGAAAAAACCGACCATTTTGTTCGGAAATCTTTTTCGCGACCAGTCGTACAAGAAATATGACTAAATGATTGAGGGCTAAACAGAATTTAGAATCATTATTAATAATGCTAAACATAATTTCCTTTATTGAAAGCAATAATTTTGAGTTCACCATGGGCGAGACCCAATCCAGAAACTCCTTCCAGAACAAAGTGGCTTGTGCGCACTCAGTGAAAAGATGAATGATGGTGTGATCTGCTGGACAAAAAGGGCAGCGTGGGGAGTCTTCTTTCTTCATTTTAAATAATAAGCTCTTAGTGCACAGAATATTATGAATAATTTTGTACTGGAACATTGATAGCTTTACTTCTTTCGTTACTTCAAAAGGCAATAGATTTAATTTTCTCAAGTCATCCTTTGGGTAGCCAAAATTTAAGAGTCTTTTCCCACAAGTCGGCGGAGGCTTTGATCAAAGAGACAGCAGCTTAGTATAAATTTTTTTGCAAGTCATTTCCTCTATTAATATTTGCGGTGTTGAGCTTTGTTCAAGCGAGCAATTAAGGAGTTTTTTCCAACTTTGAGGGATGGCGTTAACAAGGCTAAAGTACTGTAAGAAATTACCTCTTACGTTAAATTTATTACGAAAAGAGTCGAAGGACGGAAAGCAGTTTTGCTGTGTATCAAACAGGTCGTTAATTTTGAGAATTCCTGCGTAACGCCAATGCTCCAAGTATATAGATTTCTTATCAGACTTAATAAACTTATTATTCCAAACTATCTGCTCAAGAACTTTATTTTTGCTTTTTGGGTTGGAAGCTATTACGTCGATAAAAAGCTGGAAGGCATTTGCTTAGATTAAGGTGACCGATGTCATAGTTACATTTGAAAAGCTCTGGGCCCCCAACATTCGCTAATAGGGACTTTCGGATGTACTGCCACGGAGCCTCTGAGTTTGAGCAAAGTCGCTTAACCCAATTTAACTTTAAAGCCTTGTTAAATAAAGCAAAGTCTTTCATCTCTAAGCCTCCCTCTTGCCTTGTTTTGATGAGCGTAGTGTATTTTATCTTGGGTGGTTTGTGGCCCCAAATAAAATATAATACTATTTTGTTTACTTCATCAACAAAAAGTTTTGGAGTTTCCATTACACTGCAGATAAATACCAGCTTGGAGAGCGTGAGGGATTTCACTAGATTTATTTTGCCGTAAACAGAAATGTCCTTTTCAGACCATATGTTTAACAGTTTTTTTAAGGAAATTAACTTATCCCAGAAGTTCCTCTGTAGAACCGTGTCTGTTTCTTTTAACCTTTTTCGTCAAAGTTGTCAATTTTTTTCATACAAGGCAATAAGCAATCAAAATTCAAGATATATTTAAAAAATGGAAACACATCGTGAAATTTTAGTTAAACAAATTCATATTACGGTGGCTCTGTGACTCACTGCCATATATGGGCTATATAGGTATGTGCCACTGTGAAGGGTATGGTTTTCAAGCAGTTTACTCTGTATATACAGCGGAAAGCTCTCAAAATAATATTTGGCCGGGTAGACTATACAGAAGCCTTGGTCTTGGCCCGCCTGGAGTCTCTTAGTGATAGGAGAGTAGGAGCTTGTAAGGGGTTTATGGCTACTGCATGCCAAATGTCCCCTCAAGAACCGTCATCCCCTCTCCTGCCGCTATTGAGTCTCATTACAGTATAAGGGTCCAACTTCCAAGACGTCAACATGGTCATACCTGAAGAATTAATGACTTTGTAACTTATAAATTTCAGTGAATGTATGTAAATGGTTAATTGTATAATGACCTTCCCCAACAATTCAGTTATTGCTGCAAGTGGGTAAAATAAACAGAATATCTATCTATCTATAAATCAGAGCGTTTGGGTCTAGAATAGGGTATCAATTTTGAGGAAACTGATCAGTTGGTTGAAGATTTTATCTAGACTAGGGATTGTGGTATAAGGTTTTGTAATGTTTTGGCTAGACTGTGCTAGTGACCTCAATAGTTTCTGGAAAACAGCTACTCTAGGATAGGAGGGATTTGGGGAGTTTACTCTAGTATAGGGTAGCAAAATTCAGTTGAACTAGCTCTGGTATAGGTTAAGGGTTCCAGTGTCCCAGCCGCACATCCCCACCCAGAAATTTCTCAAGTCTCAAGTACCCCCTGGAATTGGAGCCGAAATTACAAGTCGGATTCAGGAGTGCAGGTTCAATTCAGCTGGCAAATCAAATGCTGCACCTTTGCCCGTACCCGCCCCCCACCCCCCACCCCACTCTCCGTCTTAACATTGATCACTGCATTATTTATCAACAGAGCAATGACCTGTGATGTGTGTTCTGTACCTGCAAATTTCATGTTTCACTTTAGTTTGTACCTACTACCAGATCTCCTGTACTTACTTGATGATTTAAGCCATAAGCTTAATCAATTCCCATTATCAATATCACTTGCTCGTAAGACCATCATTTCCAGCAAAACAGCCCTGAATTTAAACTTATTAAATTCACATACCTCACAAGACTGAGTGCCAGATTTTTCACGACTTCTGCCACGCCACGTGCGAGCATTTTTAGGTTATAAATAAAGCCAAGTGTTGACAAGTAAGTAAAAGAACTGCTGAAGCTCAAATCCTAAATCCAGAAGTCTAAATCAGTTACTTTAGATCCAATTTACTTCCAACGGTGGTCAACAAACCGCCGCCATATTGCTTTTTCTGTTAGAACCCAGTCTCTCGATTGGCGTCACGCGCGAGAGCTTTCGCAGTACTCGTTTCGCGCTTCTCGAGTACTCGTGAACTTTCACGAATTATATGAGTGTGATTAAGTAGCAACTTCTAACAGTGACGAGTATTTCAACTGAGTAATGACACCAGCACATGAGGAATGTGAGAGTGAAGGAACCCATATTCTCCGGCGGCTTAGCAAAAGAATTATGCGATTTTTGATACAAGCACCAAACTTTGTAACAATAGGGCCATTTATACGAAGAAAAATAAGACGCGTCTTACATAAGACGCGTCTTAAATAAGACGCGAACTTTCCGTATAAACGGCACATTTCGTCTAAAATAAGACGCGGCTTAGCTAAGACGCGTCTTGTTAGATAAGACATGCTCGTATAAATGGTACAGTTCGCGTCTTATTTAAGACGCGTCTTATTTTTCCTCGTATAAATGGCCCTAATACTGCAATTCCAAGGCTGATCATTTCTTGATATAGTGCCGAGTTAAATTTTCTAATTCCAGCTGATTAGCAGCGAATGATATTTTCCAGACCCGAGACCCCCCGCGAAGTACTTTTTCTTGCTCTGTTTTTTAGATTTAATGCTTTTTTATTTCAGAATACAGGTACAACAATACAGATGGGTAAATTTGGACAGAATTGCTATTTTCTTATCTTCATTATATAAATGCGGGCCTTAATTTGCAATTCACTTGCACCTGCTTGTTTCGCCTCTTCATGATCAGCTCTTGGTTCGGATGGTAAGAGTTTGCGCTTTCTCATTTTAAATGTACATTATACTCGGTGCACTTAGAAAAGAAACTACTTAGTCATATAAAGAGAAGACTGTCGGTTTAATTAAAAAAAGGAAGCAAGAAATGGGTTGAAGACGCCGGAAGCAGGTCGCTGCCACAAGCTATTGACTAGGTAAAATGTAGTTCATTAGCTGATACAGTAGAAAATGATCACTAGTCAGTCTTGATTCGAACTTTCGCGCATTTTTTCTCGTTCCGTTTTCCCCACTATCTTGGAGCATGGAACAGGCTTATTTAGACTTGAAGGAATTTTGAGTGTCATGTTGGATAGAAAAAAAACACAACATTCTACCTAGCCTGAGAAAACAGCTGACATTTCGCGACGCAACCGACAGTTTCTCCGCGAAAGACGTCTGAGAAAAGATGACGCGTCACTACACAGATGGCTTCTGATTGGTTGAAGCAAATTTCACAAGCGGCACAACCAATCAGAAGCACTACCCAAATCTGGGTAGCGACGCGTCAACAACAACAACAACAACAACAACACTTTATTTCACCCCAAATATACAAGAAATAAAAATTTATAACAATAGTACAGACAATGATAGGGGCGCTGGCTGCCCGAAATAACCTAAGAGTTAAAAATGTCAGGCAGCCAGTTAAAAGAAAAGATGTTTAAATGTTTAGGTCAGGGACACATCATCATCAGTATGGAATTTCTGCGTAGTGGTAACGTTGCGAATTGCCATCTGTTTTCTCAGGCTACATCCTTCCCGCACTCTTTGCAAAAGCCCTTTAATTGGTTTTTCTAAATCGAAGTGTCTCCCTGTCTTCCGTAGCCTCCCACGCAGATGTTCTGCTAGTGGGACAGGAACGCGTGATGAACCCCTAAGAACTGCGTGGGAGGCTATGTCTTCCGTGCAGAAGTAAATGAGTAGCATCGAGGACTAAAACCCACTGAAACGGAAGTAAATATTTCTATAATGCCTTAGAAAGCTGTAAATCGGGCGCTTCGCAGTTGCAGTGGTGACCATTTACAAACAATGATGCAAATTAACTGATTTATTGTAATCGTGTTTCATTTCAATTATGGTATTTGTGACTTAATAACGTTTAATGAAAACAGTATTCACGCAGGCATCCCAGCTTTATGTCTGACAAATTCTTCTGTCCTGAAGATCGTAAATCTACCTACAAAAAATAAGAATATTTTCTTATTGTGAAATTAACATACTACACACTGTACTTGTAATAAACAAAGGCTAGGTTTGCGGGAAAGATCGATTCAGACGCTCTTGCTTCAAAGCTGTACTTGGCGTATTAGTTTAGCCTGTTCTGGGCGCCAGTACGATAGAGGAGATCGAGTGACGCGAAATGGAGAGAGGAGGGAAAAAGCACAAGAAAGGAAGATGATAGGGGAACTCCTCTCACCACCAACCCCCCCCCCGCTCCCGGCCTTTTTCCTACATACTTTTCTTTGCGCTGTTCCCACTATCCTGGAACAGACAGGCTCTATTAGTTTCAGGTGATCAGATTACAAGTAATAGACGGTCCATAAATGCCCACGATCTGGTTACGTTCTGTGCATTGCATTCATTCTAAATGGAAGTCAAAATGAATTCTGGCTACATACGTGCTGCGCATGTGTAATAGCATGTGTAATAGCAACATGGAGATTAGTATTGCGAGATCTTTAGTCTCCCGCAATTAACAGACCATTTTTCTTCTTTCAGGAAAAGTTAGCTGCATACCACTTTTAACCCCAGAGAATGAAACGTTAAAGAGCAGTGCAATTAACTATTTTCGATGCTTCTTCAACCACAACAGTTTTGTACTAAAACAAGAGGGGCACCCAGCTACCCTAAGCACGACGACGCTCATATTGACCATAATGATTAAGACGATGGTGTGGAGGAAGAGGTTCGAGGAGCATAGTGAGGATAGAGATCATTAGCTTTAGAAACTTATTTGTTTTCAGTTTCATTAACTTCACAGTAATTCTTTTTTTCTGGCGCCCTTGATGCACAGTTAGAATAATAATGAATAATCATATTATAATCTCACCTCATTCTGTCTTAGCACTTAACGCGCATGCAGCTCAACTTGCAGTTTGGCAACATCCAGCTGGGATTTTTAGTGCATTCTCCCAGTTTGGCCCAAGCAGGACAACTTGGATTAGAATCTTTAATTTTAGAGCTACAACTCTTCTTGCAGTTAACCAACATCCAGTCAGGGTTCTTGTCGCATTCGCCTGTCTTGGCCCAGTGTGGGCAGTTACCACTACTATCTCTACACGCCTGACCAAGGATTGTAGGTTTCGGGATCACTGGAGGCCGTGGGGTTGTTTTAGCTGTTGTTGTTCCTATGAGGACAAATTCATTTTCAACATGTCTGCTTTATATTAAACCTCGTACGAGGGTTCCCCTTAGAGTTCTTCAATACCGTTATTAATATTCCGACCCAAATGTTCCTTCAATCCCGTAAACCCCATCCCGCACCCAGAATCCCGCATCCCACATCTCACGTCCCGTAATCCCCATGGGTAATATCGGCATTCTGCATCCCCTGTACACTAGGGAGCTTAAGCAGCGACGACGGCGACGGCAACGAGAACGGCAATGAACCAATAGGTTTTGACTGGCAAAAAAAAGCAACTTTGCACATGCATATGCACGACTACAAAGTGAAAATACATAGTTTCACGTTTTGTCGAGGGCGGGAACACAAAACAACAATTTTCTCTTCCTTTTCCCAAACTCTGAAACACTCCTTTAGAATTCAACTCCAAAGAAGTTTACCAACATTTGACGAATTAAACCAGATCAGATGGATTAAGCGCGATAAAGTTTGAGGCGGCGCGAATTCACTTTTTAAGTGTCGTTTTCGTAACCATCGCCGTCGTTGTTGCTTAAAGGTGATGTAACACGGGACCATTTTTACCGCAACACAGCGTTGCAATGCTGGAACAATGTTGTAACCATTCGAAACAATGTCGCAACAATGTTGCAGCGCTGTGTCGCGCTAAAAACCGTCGTTGCAAATCGTCCCGTGTAACTTCACTATAAGACTCATTGACATGAATTCATGTAGCTATTCGATCCAGAATCTCTAGTCTATTAGCTCTAAGAAAAGTAGACAAGATATCAATGGCACTGATAGAACTCGGAAAATCTGTGCTCGTGGAATTCGAAATCCTGGGCTCTGGAATCCAGAATACAGCTCAAGGATTTTGGAATGCAGCTAACGATTGGAATCGGGAATACAAGTTCCATTGACAAAGAATGCGGAATCTATCGCCGTGGAATCCAGAATCCAAACTATCCTGGATTCCTTTACCTGATGCGCGACCCATTGGACAACGTGAGCCGAAACGCAAAGGCCGCGCGCGGATTAATGAGACTACAATGAGGGACAAAAGTGTTGACACACTTCCATAAAATGGCCCCTTTTTGCATAGTGGATATACTTTTATGCCTTAACAATCGGATAAAGTGAAGAACGAGAAATATTCACTTTACTAAAAATATTTTGAGTACGCATACCCTTGAAATTCATCAAAAGTTGTACATGTGCGCAAGTATCAGCGTCAGTTTTCAGCTTTTAAACCATATCGACGTTAATTCTGGATATCGCAGCCCTTCTATTACGTCATCACGTAATTCGAATTGGCCCTATAATTCGGTCGTGAATAAGTCAATGTCACCCGCACCACCAATAACATAATTATGTCATTGTTTCCTTTAATTTCAGTTAAAATCAGTGTCATGCACGGCTCAACTTGTGTGCAGTAGCACAATTTTGCATTCAGACAATGAGGGACAAAAGTGTTGACACACTTCCATAAAATGGCCCCTTTTTGCATAGTGGATATACTTATCCCCTTCCCCTGTCTACCCCAAACCCTTCCCCCCAACACCAATGTTGAATTTTGGACCCTCAAGTCTGTTTTTTACTTCAGACAACATTGATTCGGGGGGTGAGGGGATTTACGGCGTTTAAAAAGAATGAAATAATAAATGAATTAAATTTTTCTGAAAAGCACCCGTTTTAAACAAGTGTGTCAACTAATTTTGTCCCTGATTGTAGGAACAAGGCAAAGGTGATACCATATTTCATAAAATTTAAAAAAACTGTTGCCACGCCTCTGCTACTAGTGTCTAAACAATTTTACACACCTCTGCAAACACGACAGCTCCTTTGGCAGTTTTTAATCATCCAAGCCTTGTTCTTCGTGCAGTCTCCTTTTGCGGCCCAGATGTGACAGGTATGGTAGCCATCTTGGCAACCTGCAAAAGAACAGAAAATAGACAAAACCACTCTTTCGGGGACAATACAAGATTCATTCATATGTGTTTTTTTTTCTAAGGACCTGTTTACATCAAGGTGGGGTACCCCAGGTAGGTGAGGTAACCGCCTGTCCATATAATCTCCCATATGGTCACCCCACCTATCATGTAAACGTGATCACATTAAAATGAGAGATTATATGGACAGGCGGGTTACCCTACCTAAGCGGGCTACCTCACCTACCTCGGGTCCCTCGCCTCCACGCAACAAGCCCCTACGATGACTTCATATAATTAATCGACATATGCAGATATTTTTGGTTAGCTTTGGTAGTTATAGCTTTAAGCTATGTTCAGACTGTACTGGACAGCTTTTCATGCCTACTCGATAAGCTTTCTGGTATCGTATGAACACCATTTGATATGTGACTCTCCACTTTAGAGATCGGCACGGCGCACCTTTGCTACGTTACATAAATCGCTCCGAAATCACCGTTCTTATGTGTGAACATAAGCTCTATCCGTATGGCTTTTGTGCATACGCAAAAGCTATCGGGATAGTGTGAACAACAGTAGCGGATCCAGACCTTCAGATAAGGGGGGGGAGGAGAGGGAGGGGGCGATCATCCAGATCCTGAGATAAGAGGGGGGGCCATCTCCTCAAAAAATGTTTTTCGGCCGTTCGGGCCTCAGTTTGGTCTAAAAAAAAGGGGGTGCCCCCCCCCCCCGGGCTCCTCCCCTAGACAAAGCCTAAGATGTTTTAACTTTTCCATAGCCTGTTACAGGCGTTCAGATAGTGGGGAGCGGTGCGAAGTCCCCCTCCACTTTTCATCGCTTTCTTTACTCCGCACCGCTCTCCAGTATCTGAACGCTTGGAACAGGCTAACTTTTCCACTGCTCTCAATAGAGAGGAGAGGTGTGATGACATGTTACCATGGTAGCGAAATTTGTGGATCACAACAATAGGAAGTTTTTTGCAACGGCGAGGGCGAACAGCAAAAAAGCAATAGGTTTAGATTGGCCAAAGAACAACTTTGCACGTGCATCACCCGTAGCCGTTGTTGCGCAACTGCGACATGAAACCTCCTAATTTCACGCGTCCGATTTATGGAATCGGTGAACACAACACAAAAATGTATATTTCTCCAAACCTTAGATAAGGTCCTTTCGGATTTAACCCAAAAAATTTCGCCAACATTTGACAAAGTAGATGAAATTAAGTAAGCTCGATGAAGTTTGAAACGGTGCGAATCCACATTTTAAGTGACGTTTGGTTTGTTGACATCCAGAAATGATGCTACCATGGCAACGTGACGTAACGACTTCTCCTCTCTATAGACATCTACTATATCCCTCGGACATACACTTACACTTTTAAATTCCCCACCAAGGTTAGGAACGTGAGTTGTCGTAACTTTCTCTTCCCCCTTCTCGCTTTCCACGGAGTTAAAAAGTACGTTTGGAAAAATGAACGTTTGAAAGATAACCTTTCACCATAGCAACGTACTACTACTGCTACAGCTACTACTACTATAACGACCATAGTAATGTACCACTTAAGGGAGGCAAGAGGTACAGAAGGAAACTACCCCCCGCCCCTCCCCTCCTCCCCACGCATATAGGATATACCTGGGGCTTAGTTAAACGTAGACATCAGTAGACATTTGTTTTACAACTTACTGCATAATCCAGGGTCGATGTACGCATCATCAATGGCAATGTCTGCATATCCAGTCTCTCTCCCCATTTTCCCTATTATTGAAAGCTGCGAAAAATATGTAAAAAAAATTAGACTCGGTGTTCTAGAAACTAAGCTAAATTATGATTTGGAAAGGAAGGAATGACAGCCCCTCACCCATATAGGGTTTTGTCCCAATGATAAGTCCCTCTAAAACTGCTGGCTTTTTTCATAACCAAAGGGATATTCAAATCTAAAAGCGTTAAATCCGTCTATTCCTAGAGAATGACTAAATTAAGCACGTTATGGTCAATTGTCTCTTCATTTTAGCTTAATCAGATCTCGATCGATTATCCGCAACAACGGAGATTAAGAAATTCCGATGACTTACCCTGTAACATAAACATGTCGGAGGATCTATGTTCTCCATTCCCTTATCAACTTACCCTGTAACTTAAATCCGTCGGAGGATCTATGTTCCCCATTCCCTTATCTACTTACCCTGTAACGTAATCCCGTCGGAGGATCTATGTTCCCCATTCCCTTATCTACTTACCCTGTAACGTAAATTCGTGGGAGGATCTATGGTCTCTATTCCCTTGTCTACTTACCCTGTAACGTAACCCGTCGGAGGATCTATGTTCCCCATTCTCTCATCAACTTTCCCTGTAACGTAAACCCGTCGGAGGATCTATGGTCTCTATTCCCTTGTCTACTTACCCTGTAACGTAACCCGTCGGAGGATCTATGTTCCCCATTCTCTCATCAACTTTCCCTGTAACGTAAACCCGTCGGAGGATCTATGGTCTCTATTTCCTCATCAACTTACCCTGTAACGTAAACCCGTCGGAGGATCTATGGTCTCTATTCCCTTGTCTACTTACCCTGTAACGTAAACCCGTCGGAGGATCTATGTTCCCCATTCCCTCATCAACTTACCCTGTAACGTAAACCCGTCGGAGGATCTATGGTCTCTATTCCCTTGTCTACTTACCCTGTAACGTAACCCGTCGGAGGATCTATGTTCCCCATTCTCTCATCAACTTTCCCTGTAACGTAAACCCGTCGGAGGATCTATGTTCCCCATTCCCTCACAAACTTACCCGGTAACTTAAACCCGTCGGAGCATCTATGGTCTCCATTCCCTTATCTACTTACCTTGTAACGTAAACCCGTCGGAGGATCTATGTTCCCTATTCCCTTTTTCCAATCTTTGCCTTGATCCCCTTGCTTGTAAAAAATGTACCAGTTCTTTCCGTTAGATAACGTCAATTTGACGGCCAGACTTCCCATGTTTTTGCCATACATCGTGTAGTAAAACTTCAAGCACTGTCCGCCAGGTAGCCCCGACCGCCACGGACTCACTAACTCAGCTCTGTCGCCAGGTCTTGTTCCTGAAGACTCCACGTAAAGGTAGTATCCTGTTTGGATCGGTATAATTTTAAAAACTGGGAAACGTCCCACCGAACCCTCCCCTAAACTAACGTTAACGGCAATTATTTACCCAGGCTATATTTAGAATAAGGAGAGGAGAGGGTGAGCAGATTTGCAAATCAGCGATTTTACTTGACCCGTGACACAGTTAATAACAACAAGTAAAGCAAAATAACTTCAAATACAAAAAAAAGAAGACAATAGAATTAGTGCATAATAGTGCGTGGTATTCTACCAACTAGTTCACTGCTTAAGTAGAATCACTCTAGCTACCTAGTTCTCCTGTTTATATATCTCAATAATATTGTAAACCAAATTGATTCAAATATTTAGGGAAAACAAAGTTGAAAAAATAGTAGTAGTAGTAGTGGTAGTGGTAGTGGTAGTGGTAGTGGTAGTGGTAGTGGTAGTGGTAGTGGTAGTGGTAGTGGTAGTGGTAGTGGTAGTGGTAGTGGTAGTGGTAGTGGTAGTGGTAGTGGTAGTGGTGGTAGTAGTAGTAGTAGTAGTAGTAGTAGTAGTAGTAGTAGTAGTAGTAGTAGTAGTCGTAGTCGTAGTCGTAGTCGTCGTCGTCGCCGTCGTCGTCGTCGTCGTCGTCGTCGTCGTAGTAGTAGTAGCAGTCAGCAGTGGCAGTAGTGGTAGTAGTAGCAGTAGTAGTAGTAGTAGTGACAGTATCAAAAAGTAGTAAAACAAAACAGCAGTAGTAGTAGCAGTAGAAAAGTAGTAGTAGTACAGTAGTAGTAGTAGAATCACGTATTTTCAGTGGTAGTGGGTGGAAACAAAGTGGTAGTAGTAGTGGTAGTGGTACTGGTAGTGGTACTGGTAGTAGTAGTGGTAGTGGTAGTGGTAGTGGTAGTGGTAGTGGTAGTGGTAGTGGTAGTGGTAGTAGTAGTAGTAGTAGTACTAGTAGTAGTACTAGTAGTAGTAGTAGTGGTACTGGTACTGGTACTGGCGTGTGACCTCACGCGCTTCCTTTTCACGCCACTCGTCAGCCACTTAGACCCCCTCCACACGAATCCGGTTATTTTTGAAACCACCAATTCATTTATTTGTTTATTTCTTACGGGAAACGGCTTTCAATACACGTAAATCCGGATGACAGAAATGCGCTTTAAAGAAGGTCTCAATGGGGTTTAATGTTCAGTATTATTGGCCCATAATTTTTAGTGTTTGCTGTTAAATTGGCCAATTTTGAACGTTTGCTGTTTTCAAAGAAAATACTGTTAAGTGTTTGGAGGGTTCTTCGGGCATCTTCGGCAATGGTCGGACCTCTTCGACAGTCCTCGGAAATCTTTGACAGTCTTCGGGGGATCGTCGGTAGCCTTCGGAAATCTTCTGAAATAATCCGGAATTGTCGTAAAATGGCCGAAAACTCCTTGATATACTAAACAAAATAATATTGGCCTTTTTGGAGCCGCTTTTGCTTCTTTCCGTAAAAAATTTACTCTTTCAAAGAAAATTTTACCGCTAGTGTTAAAATGCCCAAAATTTAACTGTTTGATGTTACAAAGTCAAAAAGTGAAGCGTGTAATGTTATCGAGGTACCTCCATTCAGACCCTCTTCAGAGGAAACCTTAATGAAGATGTCAAGTTGATTGTATTATACATTGACTTATTTAACAATTATCCCTCGAGCCCGAATGCGCTCCGAGGCCACCAGGGCGATAGGAATAATTGTTTTAGTAAAATCCAACTAGTTGGTGAAAAATATCGAGACAAAACAACTTTAGCTAGTTAAACCTAGACTTTAATCCTTAATTTTTTTGCCGCCAAAAACCCGGCGCTTTTCGCTATTACTGGGTTATAACACATAGCCTAATAGTAGCTCAACCAATCAAAACGCAGCATTGTTAATAGACCACTAGTTGGATTTTACTAAAATGTGTTATCTCCCTTGGGAAGTTTATTTAGCAATTAGTGAATGAGGCTGAGTATGATCTAAAGAGGGCGTCATCCGTCGGGGCCTGAGGCCGTATTTGTTTCTTTTGTACATGTTTTCTTGCTTATATGCGCCCATTAGAGACAATGCAAAAATACAAACCTAGTCCAGTAGTATGATCAGCACTAGGTCCAGTATTAATAGTTTGCGTGTAGGACCGATGAAACCTCCAATCTAAGTTGTCACTTTTAGAATTGCTCCACATCCCAAGGCGGCCATTCTCAAAGTCAGCATCGTCATTATCTGTAAAAATGAGACGATGGAAGAACACTCGGGTAAATAAATGGCAAGCTGTAAAATTCTCTCGTATGGGTAGATTTACTTAGCTCATTATTTATTTACTTGTTTATTTATCTACTTGTTTTTTGCTCCATGTAAGGGAATTCGGATCCCGGAATCCGAGGACCTTTGGCATTGGAATCCGGAATACAGCTCAAGGAATCCGGAATCCCACTAACGATTGGAATCCAAGTTCCACTGACAAAGAATCCTGAATCCAGTACCTGGAATCCGATCCTGAATTCTTGGCGTGGAATCCAGAATCCAAGACCCTCTTGGCCACATAGGACAATGTTTTAAAAAGCAATCGTAACATCCAAAAAGATCACCAACATCATATGAAAAGATGTTTCGAGAATAACCTGTGCCAATACAGGCGTTTTAAACAAGCGATTGAAGTGTTTTCTTAGTTCAAATTTTAATTCTGTTGCTTTTGAGTATGGCACTAAATGTGACACTTAATATGGATATTTTCGACGAAATCGAAGTCGCGACGATCCCGTTTAATCAAACGACGATCTTAGAGATGAAAGCGAGGATCGCCGAGTTGCCACTCCGATGACGTTTGACAACGTTAGTCGTGTGATGACGGTAAAGAAATCTGTCGAAAAGCCCTACTGCAAGTTCAGAGTTTTTGTTTTACTTATTAAGCCTGTTGCATTTTTTATTTTCTCACTTCCGTAGTCTACGCCGTGGTTTCTTGAGCTCGCTGGTAGTAAACGGGCGAGGAAAACGACGTTCGGCCTACATGTACCCATACCAAAACACAAATGTTAATGAGTTTGAAACAAAGGCAAAATACAATTTAGGGTCTATTTATATGAGATGAGCCGGGCTTGCATACACGTATGATACTGGGCTGGCTCAGCTCATGCTTTTATCTCCTCTTTAAGTTTTCGTCGCGATTATATGAGGAAGCAGGCTAGCCGGCTTGTCGAGATCCTGGCTCGAACAACCGGGATCTTGGTAAGCTGGGCCAGCCCGCCTTCTTAAAATAAACACAATGATAATTTCTTAGGAAACAAGGCTTTAGCCGAGCGATCTAAGTAATGAAGAGGGCCAGCCCGGCTAACCGTACTGGCTCACCTCAAACAGGCCCTTAATGTGTATTTGACTCTCACCAAGATTGCAACGCTTCAAGATACACATTCCCTCCCCATTTGAAGAGCCTGGGCACTGTTTTCCATTATGTCCCGGTGGTGGGTTGTCGCATTTTCGAAATCGAGTTTTGACGCCATCGTTGCAAGTTTTACTGCAGGGGCTCCAGTTCGACCAACGACCCCAATGACCGTCGATAGGAGCTATATAACGTAACAGAAAGTCAAGTTAGCGTTTGCTTGATGAGTTATTTATGTTTGACTGGGCCCTTTGTCATTTTATTCATTTCATATCGCCCATAATACATTTTGTTTACCTCCTTGCCCCCTGCATAAGCATTTTCCTCAAATCATGTTTGGTCTCGTTCACACGTATCCGGATATTTTAGAAAACGGACATTTCTTTCCGTTATCGAAAAATCATTTTCGCCCGTCCAAACAGAAACGCTAAAACAATGGAAAAACGATAGCATACCATACAGGGCATGCGCTGTATGATGTATGACATCATCGTATTCGAAAACCTCCGTTTTCTTCCGTCCACACCAAAAGGATAAACCGGCGGGACCATTAAACTCTGGAGACCATTTCCATGAACCTGCATTTTTGGTACCCGAAACACCGTTAACGTGTGGACCGAAGGCTTAAGCGTTTTCGAAACTATCAAGGACCCTAAACTTTGTCGATAGCTGTTTGTCTATTTGTTTGTTTTCACAGAAGAACACAGTAAGGATGATCGTTGGCTGTATAAACTCTACACTTCTAGGACAGCCTCAAAAATAAGACGAAGTCATGACAATTATATCAGAAGTTAGTTGTTTGTTAGAAAATGTTATTTACCAGGGCATATCGAAGATGGACACTTGAACCTCTCTTTTTCTACGCCGTAAACATTAACGTTTCCACCACAAGCTTGTTGGTTTCCCGAATTAATGCAGAATCTCTCACGTGTGCGATAGCACTTCTCGTCACAGGGAGTCCATCCAGACCAGGAAGACCAACCATTGGTAAGTTCTAACATAAAAAATAATTATGATAATGATAATGATAATTATAATGGTAATAACAATACTAATGATAATGATAACGATAGATAAAATTCGTGTCCCCAAGCGGCCATGTAATGTTCTGTTTATTTTATGGATACTGATGAAATTCCTACATAAAACACAACTTGAAGCTCATCTGCGGAGAAGAGAGTGGCGACACGAAAAGCTCTCCGGTATGTGAACTAAGCCTTAATCAATAAACCAATGAGAAAATAAAAAAGTTTAGCCTGTTCCACAGGGTCCGGAGAAGTTCAGTTTTTCATGAAAACTTCTAAAACTTTATTAAAAACGGGAAGCTCTCTTGTAATTGGCTAATCATGTAAGTAACCATGGCGACACCAATATCCTCACACGTGAAAGATAAAAATAGTATCTTCACTGCCCGCGATGAAGATATGATTTTTTTGTCCTGGTATTTCATCAGTACCTATATAATAAAGTACTTTAGAACATAACTACTCACTTCTGCAATTGTATAAAGCATTGATTTCGACTGCGTCTCTGGTACTTAGAAGGTTATTTGGAGCGCCAAATTCCATGTTCTCGTTTCCAATGGCTACAATGGTGGGTTTGCCGTTTTTGGTGAATGCCATTCTATCATAATGCATGACGGACTGATAATCGTAGGACACACCCAAATTATCCAGAGTCCTCCACGAATATTTGTCAAACTGGTCTTTATACTCTAAAATAAAACAAAATTGGGTAGATAAGGTAGGTAGAGTGGGTAGGTAGGTAACACACTTGGCTTAACGTATTTCTTGTTAAGACATATTTGTGCACATTTCATGATATTACTCCATCATGCTAAAATTCAAAAGCGCTTTTTTGATGTATTCTATAATAATTGGAAAGTACATGCGACCCCAGCAATGGTGAAAGATGCCAAAAAATGTAATTTCTGACGTTTGAGAGACATGGGAACGAATTGGACAGAAATAAATAGAATTCTAACGGCACGGTTAAGGGGCGCGGGGAATTCGAGGGAGAGTTTAGGATTATTTATGGCTTTGGCACGAGAATTGTTCCTTGTGTCGTGTTAGTGAAGTCAGAATAGATGTCTGAACACTTCTAAAGACATCACGTAGACTTCAAAGTACTAGTTTAAACAAACCAATATTTTCAATTGACGTACCTGAAAGCTATGAGTGAAAAGTCGTGTCGTCGAAAATAAATAGACCTTTTTAGCTTTCAGTTTGCAACAATAGTTTGCCGTCTGTCACTGATGGCCAGTTAACACAACGTAAGTATGATTCACTACTGTATGCAATATCTTACTAGGTAGAATGTTCTCCCAATAGATCTTGACATATTTATCTCGATCGCTTCTTGCTTGCTCGTGGAAGAAACCTGAAGCAGATATGAAAGATGCTATATACAACTGGATCTAAATTACCACTGGTGGATCCAAGGGAGTGGCTCGGGGGGGCCCGGCTCCCCCCTTATTTTTAGACCAAACTGAGGCGCCAAGGGCCGAAAAATTCTAGATCCGGCACTGATTACTACCTATATACTACCACATGAGAAATTTCTGCAATTTGATTGGCTTACAGCAGTGGTATTTCAGCTTAATTTGAAATACCTACACGTGAAAAATACAAACCTTTTGCGGGTAGTATTTGTACGTGATATTTGGCATAAATACCACTCGTGATATTTCAAAATTGTCTCAAATTTCACTCGCCTAATGGCTCGTGAAATTACGTTTAACAATTTTGAAATATCACTGATGGTTATTTTGCCAAATATCACTACAAATCATGCTATTGCCTATACGTATTTACTGGCATGGCTACCGACAGGACTTTACTACAACGAGGAACGAAGAACGGGAACGAACCCAGGAACAAATGGAACAAAAGGTAATTTAAATCCTACCCCTGTCAGTATCTTCGTTGCTTATTCTCCCTTTTTTCTTTTTTGCAGTTCCCCGTTCCCGCTACCCATTCTCTCTTTAGTAATACCTTTGTAGACGGCCGTGAATCGTTCACATTACACAATTTGGTTCACCTGCGTTAAAAAGAAAATTTTTGTAGCGGAGTGCATTTAAGCTAAGCAAGAGAGGATAATTATAACGCTCTTCAAAAGTAATTACAACTCAAATCAGGGGCGTAGCCAGCCTATAGACCTGAAGGCCTGGGCCTACAAATTTTTGGTTTGACCAGTCTACTGTTTGTAATAAATTATGCGTTGTTGGGTTGAGCTAAAAAAAAATTATATTAAGAGCTAAAAGTGTTAGTGAGGTCACTGCGTACTAGCCATGCGTACAATTTTCAGGATAGGTGGAAATGAAAGCCAGCCAAGCCTACAATTAGTTGAAAAGCTGGCTACAAGCCCGAAAACCATGTACTGTAGATCACATTGTAGTGTCGCATGCAAACTTCGAACGCCTAGCGAGAACATGCGACCAGGGCAGACTGTGATCTTTTTTCCATCGCATAAAAACGCGAGAGAAAAATTACCTATTGCATGCATCATTTCATGCACGATCGTTGGCACGTTATCACAGCCATCAGCAAGGGAGATTTCTTGAAATCTGCTTTGAGCATAATGCTTTCCCACCTTTGATGAACACCTAAAATGATGAAAAACGCTTAGATGAAGAAAAAAACTTTAGAAGTTTCTTAAATGGTTTTCTTTCAATGATTTAGAAGCCGGAGTGGTTAATTCTGAGCTGCTCTAAAAACTATTTTATCCAATGGGATGTTAGCCTGAAGTTCATCCGACGTCTGAATCGACCGGCCGTTAATGCCGTCCAGTGACGTCACTCACTACCCGAAAACCGGGTAGTGATTTTGATTGGTTGATTGTCTAAACATTCGCATAATTATGTATAATTATGAAAAATTTTAGCGGGATTGTCGCTTGATATTCAGCGGATCGCATCCCTAGCATTCTTTCGTTTAGATCAAGCATTTCGATAAGCTTAATCTTTATCTTAAACAGCAAAATTGCCCTTGTCTTCGAAACTGAAACGCTAAATTGAACTGCGAATGAAGAATCATTGCGGAGAGTCGGTAGGTTTTTCAGTTAGAGCCGCTTTGTGGTTTCGGCGGCCGGTGATTTTGTTTACTCGAAGTTTTCTGAAATCAATGTTATAATTCGACCTTCTTGCTGTTTTTACCGTCAAGTATAATGATTCTGTTAGCTTTTCTTTCTTGTGTCCTTGTTTTTTTTTTTCTTATTTAAGGACCAAATAGCTTTTTTTTAATTAAAGCAAATCATTGTGTTTTTGAACTAAGTGTTCCGTGTGTGTGTTTATTTCATTGCGTGATTGCGACCGAGTTTGATTATAGAATTTAGTACAACCGGTTCAGAGTTGTACTGCATGCAGTTGATAGTTTGAACGTTAAACATGAATTAAGATCGAAAAAAATAAAGCAGTTCTGTATCATCCAGACATTTCCAAACGATATTTCTCGGTTTGCCACTTGAAAATCGTGTTTTACTTTTTGCATGAATTAAAGCAAAGGTCAAGGAGTAGTGACGTCACTGGACGGCATTAACGGCCGCTTGATTGAGACGTTACTGAGGGAGTAATAACGACTTGAAGTAATCGGATGAAATTCAGGCTAATGGGATGTCCTAGGGGAACTTTTCTAGTCTTGACAGTTTTACGGTTATTGGATTTTTTTCCCCTGAAACTGTCAGCTACCATAATGGGTCCGGGTCGAGAGGTCGAGGACATGAGAAAAAAAAAGCCCTGATCTGCGGTTATCCAGAAATTTTTAGCCTTTCTCGGGCTTAAGAAAATTCTACGAAATATTTTGCTTAGTCCCTAGGCCTCATTATTCTGCGCGGCCAAAGCGTTTCGGGTCACGTGGTGCCAGCGAAGATGTGTTGTTTCCCGTTCTTTCGCCTCGGATACGTCACCGAATTGAATTGACCGAGATGGACTGGGGAAAGCCGTAGGGGGACTAGACAAGGAAATATTTATATCTGCTTATTTGAACAGTTATTCACTTCAAAGAACAAGGTTGTTAGGTACTCCTATCCGCATGGGCGTTTTACCAGGAGGACAAAGAAAGGGCGGGGGGGAGGGGATGGGAGGGAGTGGGGTAGGGAAAACAAAAGGGAAAGCGGATTCTCATTGGACAGCTGATAGGTGAACAGTGTAATTCCCTTTTAATTCAGTCCACCTTCCACGCTTCTCTAAGGCAAAGTAAGTTATTTGCATCTTTTTTTGAGTCATTATTTTAAGATATTTTGTGCCTTAATCCTGATAAGAAAATAAAATTTAAAAAGAAAAAAAAAACAACCAAAGAAAGAAAACATAGCGCACCTCTGGATTGCTTTATTCGATAACTTACCCGTCGCTGTTTCCAAATCGAATGTAGTTACCCCCATGGATTGCCCTGTTGTAGTATTGAAATCGGATGCATGTTTTACTGTGGAATTCCTGAATCGCTTTGTACACTTTAGACCTGACATGGCCTGTGTGTTAAATAAGAAAGAAATTAAGTCTGAGTTTCGCGCATACTGATCGCCGCCACTTTTAAAGCAAAACGATTTTGTTAGCCTCCACCGTGACGAGGCCCTGAGAAGGTTTGCGTAAGGAAGCTACGATCTTGTGGAACGACAAATATTACACAGCTTGCAGGCGGAGTTTATTAGGTTACAAGGTCAAGCTAAACGCATTCTAGGGAGTAACCAAGTAAGCAAAGGGATTTTCATGGCTGTTTGTGCACTGGTTCCCGAGGGCTGTGAGCAAAACAATAAGACGAACGAAATAGCAGAAGGGGTATGAGGACTAGGAGTCAGATGACATGCAACGTGATAGGAAAAAAGTAGAGTAGCGAATTGGCTAATACTTGGACTGCAAAACAGTCGGGTTTCTTTTTTTCTTAAAATCAGTAAAGCGTGGCGTAAGAGTCCTACGCGCGCGAAGCGCGCGAGTCTTTCTTCGCCCGTAGGGCGTGTGAGGTGTATTTTTAGCGTCTCCCTCAGTCTCACTCTCCATTTTCAGGATCGTTTTAGACCGTTTGTTTGAATACTAGCTAGCCTGAGTATCAGGCCTTCCTAAGGGGATAGGGGAGACGAGATTTTTGATGAGGGAGGGGGAGGGGGGAGAAGAGAAAGGAAGGCCTGACACAAAACCATTCAGCAAATCGTGTGACACATCCAGAATCTGGATGTGGCAGTGATTGGATAACACACAATACGTCCTGACGTCACTGACCGCAAGTAAACACGAGCAGAGTGTTTTGATTTATGGATAGAGACGCAGAGAGGAATTCAAAGAGACTCTAGAGGGCGCTCTCAAGTTCTTTCCGGGAATAAAAATAACACCCGAGCAAGAAATGTGTTTTCAGAGCCTCGTAGTTAAAAGGAAAGATGTTCTCGGAGTATGGAAAAGCCTCATATACCAGTTTCTGCCGAAACTATGTCAGAGTATTGGTTTCACAAGACCAGGACTAGCCTGCGAAACGAAGAGCGAGGAGAAATGGATGTTTCGCAAGCTAGACCAGGACAAAGAAGACGATATCAGTGCTTCAGATATCTAAGTTTTGATTTACAACATCCTGCCGCTAAAAGGGAATTGTTACTGTAAATAAAATTAGAGCGAGGTAGCCATGTATTGAGAATAGCCGACAGCACCAAGGCTTTAGCTTGTCTTTAGATTTTCCCTCGGACGATTTTCGGCCTGATTTACAGCAGCTTTTTAGCTGCCAGATTCTCAGGAACCTGCTTATTAATGAGCGCCGCTGTTGTAACTCTGTAAACAAAAGCAGTTTACAGTTTTCCGGGCACACGTTTATTTACAAACAGAGCGTTGGCGATCTTACATTATCACAATTCCTAAAGCATGTTATAATTCCTCAAAAACGGCAGGTTTTCCATTACAAGTATTCGAAAACTCCTCATTAAATTGGAGGTTTCAGAAAAAGCGAAATCGTTGCCACACAATGCAAGCACCGGAGCTCGGCAAGACCGTATGGTGAAATTTATTTTAAGCTGACAACCCAATGACCGGATGTGATTTTGATTGGATGGTTTCGAATCATGCTGTGTGGAGGTGGAAGGCTCCAGTAAAAGCATCTGTGTCAGGCGTTTCTCTCCTTCAGCTCTCTCCCTTTTTCGCTTCCATCTTTCCCCTTTTCCCCCCAGAAACGCCTGATACTCAGGCTGAATACTAGCGGGTACCTGAATACGCAAAAATAAGGACTGTTTTGCAGTCTAAATATTTTACATCCCTGTTTTCCTCAGAAGAAGTGCTACGAAAATACATACTCATGTAGGAGGGAATGTAGTACGGTATAATCCGGGTGCTCCATACTCGTTTTTTTTCCCGTATGGCGTTCCGTGAGTTTCCGCCATTTCTTATGTAGTCCTCAAGTTCGGGGTCAAGCTTTATGTCACCTTGATAGAAATCTGATATGTTTTCTGTTACAAAGAAACAAAAATAAAAAAAAACCTTAACAAAAGAGGTTCAACAATTATGTATCCTAAAGGCCATCCTTTTTTATGCAATTACGTTAAAAAATAGAATAAAATAAAAAGGAAAAACAGACTGAGCTAAAACTAATCTGCAACAGTTAGAAAACTGCGTATACAAAATCACAGGCAGCCCAAGCTCGAAATATGAGCATCGGCGAACATCGGCATTGTTGCGTAACATTCGAAATATAAGGATTTTTCGGGAGAAACATAACACACATTTTAATTAACGTAAGCTGTTTTTTTATTGAAATCCTGTCAGTTTCGTAGGTTACAGAAACGATAGGTTTTTTCCCCCATACAAATCCTTATATTTCGAACGTTACGCAACAATGCCGATGTTCGCCGATGCTCATATTTCGAGCTTGGGCTACCTGTGACAAAACCAAAATAGAAAGATAAAAGGGAATGAGCTAAAGCTAATCTGCAACTGTAAAGAAACTACGTACGAGGCTACTTTGATTGAAAGACACTGCATGCTAAGTATAAATAAAAAGGCAAACAAAGAAATCTGAAACAAATGGGAAAAAAAGCGCCAATTTTAGGTATTGATATGCTAATGCAGTATCAAAGTTTTTAAGGGCATTGTAAAATAATTTTAACAGTAGTTAAATAAATTTGTTGAGCCAAGTGATTTGTATACCTTTGTTGACTTTTACAATCTCTTTAAAAGTGTTTTCGCCATCTGTTTCATTCCCGGCTGTCTGACGTTTCTTTCTTAAGTGCGCCATGTTTACGGCCAAAATTCGGCCATGAACTGTCTCAAACTCTGAAATGAAAAAAAAAAGGCGATGTAAATTAATATTAGGTGTAAATCACTCAGCTCCCGAAAAAAAAAAACATTAAAAAAAAACTATCTATTATGTTCTTATTTATTTTTTCATTAAGGCATCAAAGTTTTCATTTCCATACAAGGCAATAATATATAACCAATCAAAATTCAAGATATATTTTTATTTAATTACCGGTATTTTGGAGATACATCATGCAAATTAAGGTTGAACAAATTCAATTTAAGTTAAACAAATTTATATAACTTAAGTGCTTCATATGCCTCTTCCTAACGATTTGAAATTCTGTGACTCAGATGACCAGAACTTCTCGGTCTGTGATTGATACTGTATTATACGGAATCAGAAAAGCAGAAACATGATCTATGACGTCAGGGCTTTTGCATTGTTGATGCACAATGGCAGATCATCGTTGCAAACACACACCTAAAATAAACTTCTTCTTCTTCTTTTTGTTTTTTGCACTTTACATTCATTAATGACTTCTAAAACACAAGCAATTACCTCTTTTGGAAATCTCCTCGATTTCAGCATTAAAATCAGTGCTTGCCATCCGCTTGCCTGGAAGCCAAAGATATGATCATCATTTACCTACTGTACCAGTTATTGATACGAAACGGACTGAACAGTATAAAAAAAACCCACCCGCCGATCATATTTTAAAATGATACAGTTAAACCTCGTTAGTACGTGGCCTGCGTGACAGGCGCAAGAAGGGGAGGTAGAGGAGGAGGGAGACCCTCCTCCATTTTTCCCTTTTTCCCTATCTCCTACCCCTTTCGACGCCTGCTACGCAGGCTAGTTAGTGCGGACACCGAGGGTGCCATTGAAAGTGTCCGTATTAAGCGGATTGAATTTAGAGAAAATGTAAGGGCTTTCTTTCCCCAGGGACAAACCAAACTGGCCTAGCTTAATAATGAGGTATCTGTATTAAGCGGGTGTCCGTAAAGCGGGCTTTGACTGTACTTTATTTGTGCCTTTCTGGCTCGCTCTGGGGGGGGGGTATACCCTCATATAATTCATATGGGTATGTGCCGCCCCAAAGGGTATGGATTTGGGGCCTTTTTGGTCTGAAAACGGGTACAGATTTTTACCATTTTGGTCTGGAATTGGGTATGGTTTTCGAGGGAGCTACGGGAATGTATGAACGTATTTATCGTTTCAATTCCAAATCAGTAAGAAGGACTCAATAGAAATATATATGCGAATTCTAAACGCATTTGAAGAAATTTTTTGCACTCTAATTTAAGTAATGATGACATAATTTCTGCCCAAAGGCCAGGATTTTAGAGGTCTGGTCTGAAAAGGTCAGGTTTCGGAGAAACGGGCAGCACACCCCCACTAAAAATTCCCGAGAGTACCACCCCCCGGGGCTGGCTCGGACAGTAGCGACCAGACATCCAACAACGATAGACCATTTCAGCCGAGTTCCATAAACTTTCACTTTCAATAGGCTAAGTCCAAAACCTTTCTTGTGAGAAAGAGTTTCATTGTATTCCATGAGATGTTAAAATTTTAAAAAATCAATGGCTTTGCACTTAGGCTCGCTTTGAAAAAGAGACTTTGGGCAAATCGGAAATGCTCTCTTGAGTCTGTGGGCGAAATCTTATGGTGCTGGTATTCAAATGAAACCTATTTAGTAAAACGTTTACAGGGTACCATTTATTTCTTACGATTTTACCAAACGAAATTTAATTTTGGGGGGATTTTATTGGCCAGGCGGTTAGAAGTGAAACGGTTTTTAAAATATGGCAAGTCTATCCCATGGCCTAGACAAGAGTGGGCGTTAGGGGTGAGCAGATTATAAGAGGGATTGAGTTTCGGTTTGAATTACAAGTTAGGTGAAGAAAGATCTGTAGCCTGCGTAGCAGGCGCTTGGAAGTGGTGGGCGCAGGGAAGAACGGGCGCGCGCCCGTTCTTTCTTGCCCCACTAAACATCAGTAAACATTGGCGTAGGCCGACACGATTACACTGATATGAAGACTGCCTCTCCCGGGATGGATGATCATGAAAACACGTTTTTTGCTCATCACGTTTTTGACCCTCTTGAAACCAAGGTTAATCCAGGGTCAATAAATTCATTTTTTTGACTAAGTTCTACTTTGCCATTTCGAAAAAAGAGGAAAGGAAGTCGTATTTAGAGCAGGGTCCCGTTTTACTCGGTTTAGAAAAAAAATCATGCATTTCGCTACACTTTCGAGGAGACAGTGATGACCCTAATTCGTTTTGTTTCCCATACGGAATAACGTAATTTAGATTAATAATTTTTTAAACTAACATCATGCAATTAGATGTTTTTAGAAAAAAAAATTTGGTGCGAATCCGGAAGAATCATAGCCTGAGGACACAGACGTATTTCCGGTCGTCACGCAAGAAGACTCAAGACCTTGAATTCAGCGGCACATACGGGAGTGCCCCTCGGGGCTACAGCACCCGAGGGAATGGGTTTCAAAGACGGTATTTCTCGTGCGGAAAATATAGAAAAATAAATAAAGCTTTCTGTCTCATGGATACGATTAATATTCTTTTTGACACTTAACACTACAAGGAAAAATGGAGTTTTAAAAATATGCGTAGGCAATGTACACGATTGCACATTGCATGAGTCTATTCTTTAGGTGATCTAAGAGGTCAGGGAATCTTAGGTAATCATTTGAATCGATAGCAAATTAATAATTCACTATAGAACCACTGTAACTTACCGTTATCCAATAAACTAATGGGCTTAGTGTCCGACGAAAGAAAATTCAGACTTGCAACAAGCAGAAGATAAAACGGCGAAGAGGCCATACTTTGCATGACGACAGAACAGTAGATTATCGCAGTTTTACGTAGTTCCCTTGTGTTTATAACTTCTCAAATATCCTGGGAATAGAGCCTGGCGACAAGACTGTTTGAAGAGATACAGCTGCCAAGATGTCGTTGATTGTCGACATTGTCTCAGTTTGTTCCGGAAATTGTTACATCGACAGCCATTGAAATCACAATGTTGCTTCTCGCAATCATGTTTGCATAAGCAAGGTTAAAGAAAACACTGACATGCATAGATACTATAAAAGATCCCTACAGTGACATTCGCCCTTTGTCTTTGAAGATCGCTTTGAAGCAATATAGAAGAAAGAGGGGACAAAAAGCCTGTCAACATTTTAAAAGATCAAAGCACTGCCGTGTTGACGTGAAGTTTTGAAGATGCATTTCTTTGTCCAGTTTCTTTTTTTCTCACCTCCAGTTTTAAAAAAAAAAGCTGCAAAGAAAGAATATTCTAACTCCGGGCATTTCAACTTTTACTTACCAAAAAAATCAATTATAGCTCATTAAAATACAAATTTTATCAGGGGGTGGGTTTGGGAGAGGATGACAACCATGCAGTATTTTACAGTGTCAGTTTAGTTTGCTTTTGTCACCAATCTCCGTTTGTTGTTTTGTTGTTTCTCTATCAAATATGCTTTTGTTTTTACCAAGTAAAGGAAAATAAAGCACAAGTCAATTAAAAATACTAATCATAAAAAAAAATGCTAGAAAACTGGTATAACAATTTGTTCATAATTTATGAATAAAAAAAGCCACCAGTTCTAAATTACATTCAATAAGCACTCTTTACAACAATTCATGTTTTATTTACAAGATAATGTTAAAATTCTGTAGTCATTTTGGATCAGTTTAAGTTTCTGGGAAACTGCCCACCTACCTCTCTGTTGGGATGACAAGATTAAATTTTCTCAAAAGTGACTAAGATGGGGTCTATATTTGGCCACAGAATAGACTATAATGGGATAGGGGTTCTGAAAGACCAGCGGCACATACCCAGCGAAAATTAACCGAAGTAACCACCCCCGCCCGGGATAATGAACACCGCCCTGTTTCCTACCTTAGTCTAAAATCCTTAGGCTCATTCTTCCATTCTTTGCCTTTCAGTCGTGCATGCATTCCACACTACCAAAACAACAGTTATTCATGTGTCTGCGAAAGGGACCACAGAGGAGACAGTTGCAAAAAATGTAAGAGATATACATACATGTTAACTTAAAAAAATCAGTTCGCTTATAATGTTGGTAACAATTTTTGGTTAAGTATTGCCAATAATGTTTTCGTTAAAAGAAAAATTCCGTGTTGTTTTTCGATGCTTATACATATTTCTTTGAAATAATAATCGCGCGTTTCATCAACTTGACGCTATCTTGTCAAACTCCACAGAAAATACCAAAATGGTAAAGATTTGTCTCTAAAAGAAAATTCTTGCAAGAATTTGCTTATTTGCCCTCTGCGGTTAACTCGTCGGAGAACAAGTAAATAAAGTTATTCTCATTAGTAGACGGGTTGATGTCAAAAGTAAGGTTAGCAAAGATTACATACTAGCCGTCATGTCCTCCCTAATCAGGATTTGAATCCGACTGGTACCTCTGTACGTTTGGCTTAACAAAAGGCTTACAGACTGGAGATCATAATGTCGTCTTTGGTACGTTGTTTTTAGAGCATGCGAAGCTGTGAGGGGTTGTAGACCCGATCAAGATTAAGGATGCACAAATGACCGCAAGTACGGTTCGTAGTAGTAATTTTGAACTACATTATGGACGAGTGAATTCGACGAGAGGACCTTAAACATGGTGTCGAGCTACAAACACTGATCCATCGGACTATCTTCAAGTTGATATGGGTTCAGTGAAGTCTGTACGTGCAATGGCTACACAGAGACAGGGAACAGGCAGTTTCTATATACAATTGTAGTTACGTACTATCTGAAATATTCGTTGGATAATAAAGTTTGGAACATTTCCAAAGAGAACAACGAAAAAAAGGTAAATCTAGGGTAAAACGGGTTACTAAAACGTGCAAATTGTTTTGCTGCGCATTTTCCCAGCCACGTTCAAACAACCTGTCTTGCAGTTTGTTGCAAGTTACATGAATACTGACTTCTGATTGGATAAAATTACGCGGGAGTCTCGCTATACACGAGAGTTACGTCACTTGCTGCAAAACAAGTTTGCCTTGGGCCAGTAAAACGCACAACATGAAAAAAACTTTGAACATATTTTGTTTTAAAAAGTAAACTAAGGAGGCATAAATTCCATACAGATGACGTAAAATCTCTGGAATCTGGTCATGAGTTTTGATTGGTCAAAGCAGTAATTATATTGTTTTAGCTATAGTCTACAAATGAAATGGAAAAGACAAAAAGTCACAAAAGTCGAATGTAAACGCGATAAATCTCCAAAACAGGGATTATTCCCAGAGTATATTCTTCTTAAATACAGCTCGTTTAGAAGAAAGTCAAAACTTGACCATAAAGCAAATTTACGTCTGGAGCTCCATGACTACGAGATTAATTATGTTAACATTGATTTACGTCATCAGTATGGAATCGCTGCCGTTGCGGAGCACCCGTCTCTCTTGTAAAACGTCCCTGGCGGCGAGGAGCCAGAAGAGAGGGCTGAACTCGCAGGCTAGTCGCAGTATGTTAGGGTTTACCTCTCTATGAGCTTCCATCTTTGACACTTGAACTCCTTGCTTTGTGGTCATTCACTTCAGGTTTCTCCTAGTTGTCCTATACTTACCTGTTCCTGCCACCGTTTTGCGAGAATTTTTTTATATCTGTCAGGTTTTCTTGTACTAGTGTACTGTTCGCGGTATAATACTTGTAATTTACAGAATTTTCCTTCAAGGTTTGAATAACCATAGCTTGCTAATGAAGTTTTTTCCTACTTACAGATTTTTCAAATCCCCTGGCAGTCTCCTTCGAATTTTCCTCAGCCTGTTCCTCAGAGCGAGTTCCATAAGGTTCTATCCTATTACCGGATATGTGTTACCTTGAATAAACGTTGAAATATAGGAAGTGATCATGAAGTAAATTGCGAACGTGAATGAAAACTGAAAAGAAACGTGTTACAAAATACTATCATTGAAAGCACTTAAAAATAACTTCCCTCCGTTGTAAGTACAGCATACTAGATAAAATATAGTCGGGAGAAGATCTGCACGGGTCAAAGGCTCATTTGGCTCGCTATCATAAAACCAGAATCGGACGCGAATATTTCATCGTAAAGTGTATGGAAGCCAATTAGCTGAGCCGGAGTTTGTATGTAAAGTTAATTCTGTTAATTAATTAATAATTCATCAACACCTTGATTTGTATTTGGGCTTACAGAGGTTTAGGGCCTGTTTAAATGAAGGGAGGGACCCCAGGTAGGTGAGGTAACATGTGAAAGGTCACCCCACCTAACATGTAAACGTGATCACATTAAAATGAGAGATTATATGGACAGGCGGGTTATCTCACCTATCTGGGGTACCCCACCACCATGTAAAAAGGCCCTTACTTGTGACTCAAATAAAACGTATTGATTGGTCATGAGTTTGATGAAAAGGAACATTTCATGAAGGAAGTGACGAAAAAAGCATACCTACCTGGAAATTATCTACAAAGTTAGAGACTATGGGTTTCTCCTTAAATCAGTATAAAATCAAAAAATCCATTACTAGACAAAGGTAAACTTGTGGCTTTTTTTAAAACCTTCAGAAATTAAATATAACACTGATTTCGATAGGTGCGTATCTCAAAACAACACAAAGCTCATAATTTATTGTCTCATTTCAGTTAATGATAAGCTAACTATACAGTACACAAATCTACGTATTATATACCATGCATAATTTAAATACAGACTGTACAGACCACAAGACATTAATCTTATTGCGTAGGCAGCTAACTAGAATCTAATGCGGAGTATTTATATCAGATCATATATAAGCCCTTGGTGTCTTTTAAAACAGTTCAATGTGAAATAAATAGATAAGAACGCTAAACTGTTTACATGTCCGTGCAATCTGTTTGTACAAAATAATAAAACTAGCTTAAAACACTTGAGTAAAAAAACTTCAACTTGTTTATAAAGGTACTATATCCCTTTTTCCTTGATGGACGTAACGGTACATTATTCTTTTACTGATTTATCTCTCTTTTTAAATTCTGTTTTCGATTATTTCTCTTTTGTAATTTACTACTCTGTTAATGTTACTAGTCAGTGATTAATAGTACTATCTACATTTATAAGCTAAATTAAAAGAAGCACTGTATCATTTAATATACTACATGCGCTCCTCTTCTATCTGCCGATTATAAAAAAAAAGAATTGTTTTTTTTGTGTATCATCATTTTTCTTAATCTGTACTGGTTGTATATTACACTGTATTGAAAAAATATAAACACAGTAAAAACACGACGCCACTTAATAAAAATACGAGATAGTCTGAAAGTTGAAACGCAGATTTTTGACAACTTCACGCATTCATACCATGATAACATGTTCTTCTGTAAAACCGAAAGACGGAAGGAAAAATCCCTCCGGTATAATAATTATTGTACAAAAATTATAAATTACTAAATAAAATAAATAAATAAAAATAAATCAGTAAAATAATTATAATTTTTGATGTTCACTAGCTGGGGCTCTGTTATTTACTGTAAATAAATTAATTCTAGTCTAAAGTCTATTAACACCCGAGTTACTAAAATACCTGCACTTTAGTTTTGTCAGAGACGAGCATCACGTGACCCGTAAAACGAAAGGCTACGAGGAACAATGAGGACTGGGGAAGAGGAAAACTACAATTCTAATGGAAAATATACATTTTATGTGTGGTTAAATTAGTATGAACAGCAATTCTTAAATACGCCGCTGCCTATAACCTGTCACTTAATTTAATAACCTGTAATCTATAACCTGTATTTACCTCTATACTAACCTGTCATTCAATTAAACTTATGTCATTCCTTAACCAAACGTGTACAACACCCTGGACATGAAATTATTGACTTATTTTACTCACATATTCATGCAATGGTTACTTTCTGTCATTCTTAGGAGAAAAGACAAAACTATCTTATTCTTGTATCAGCCTTTCACTAACACTATAACACTATGTATCTATATTACTTGACACTGTGAAAGTAGTAGTAGTACGGACATTGAAAATTAAAAAGATCTCTTTTAGCCCTAAAGTGCTAATTCAACTGGAGCCACTGAGCACAATTTAAGCCAAAAAGCCTTATCAATGGGACTCATTTCATTCCCATGTGGGAGCGGGGGGGCTCATAAGAGGCTAGTGGGGATGTGCCGCTAGATGGGGTCGCATTTTCACGACTGGATTGACTCTAATAGAGTCACATTTTCAATAGAGTTACTTGAATAGGGTCGCACATATTCGGATTTGCGGGATAAGACAGTTTTTCATTTTTACAGTTAGCAAAAGTACCAGAATGTTTATACTGTAGGTGAAAGGCAAAGTGTTCTTCATTCAATTTAAAAAAATGGGTCAATTCATTTTAACGATGACCTATTTAAAGGCTTGATAAGGTAGATACATAAAAAGAAAGTGAGTAAGTTGGGATCACGAAAATTACTTTTGCCCAAAAGCGACTAAGATAAGGTCTATAACTGGTCATAGAATAGACTATACTGGGGTAGGGGCCCTGAGAGGACAGCGGCACATACCCAGCAAAAATTAATCCAAGTTACCCCCCGCCCCCATCATCCCTTGAGTCCAAATCAGCTCTAGGTAGTTGGAAAATATTGGCCCTGATTAAGGGAGCCACATAAGACCCCCAAAAATAGGAGGGCCCCATTTTTAGGGCTAACAAGGACCATTCTGATCTACAGTGTTCTTCTTAGATCTTCTCTGAGAAAAAGGAAGAATTACAAGGAGCTTCAGTTAAGACCAATGTCACTATCTCTCTGATTCAGGTATATTATCAATTGACACCAGGCCAAGTTCTCTCATAATATGCCAGTTTACATTAGCATAACCCATATTTGTTAGGCACCTCATGATCTCCCTGTTTGTGGCTTTAGATCCATTTTTTTCGTACCACTCACTCAAAGCCTTCCGACATTGAAACAAATTTCCGTTACGTTTTTCTTCCTCCGCTATGTTTTCGATCACAGGCTGTGGTAGTCCAAGATAACTGGCGAAGATTTTCCATTCCACTTCGACCTTCTCCGCAACAACTAAACAGATACTATCACTTGGAGGTTCGTTAACCTTTTTATAAGCTGCAAGAACAAAATTAAACATTAAAAGATGACCGACTTCACAGAGCATGCACATTCACAAGCATTCAACTAGCAATGCATTTATCGTCACGCTACTTTTTTTTGAGTGACGTCAATCGTCCGATATTTTTTTTTTAAGAGTAGGTTGAGTTTGATCGTCTGGGTGAACGTAGTCCTGAATAGGACTGTTGTTGTTGACACTGACTGACGTTTCGACAACCTGTGCGGCAGTCATCTTCAGAGTCAAAGTGAGTTGTATCTCGTCAGTTGATGGTATAATACTCTGGTTATTAATCTGAGATCGAAGTAAATGGTAAGATACCTTTTCTACACTGCTTGGTCACCCGCGACAACAACAAACTACAAACGACTATTTACAGAAAAGCGACACATACCGACGATTACTAGACCAGTATTCGTACAAACCGACCTCTCACAAGGCTACTACTATCCGGACTCTGACGAGACGAGCGCAACTAGTTTGCTACTCACCTAACAGCCTACAAGACAAGACTGATTATCGTAACAACCTTTTTAGTAAGAACAATTACAGCACGGACTTCGTTAGACGGAACAGTCACAGTAACACTGATTCCAACACTCAGAGCAGCGTCAACTCTTGCCCTGTTACGACAGCGACTATACCGTACATCAGAGGCACCTCTGAAACTATCGCACGTATAACACAACCTTACAATGTACGTGTTGCACACAAACCGATAACCACTTTACGACGACTAGGAGGACAAAGCACAAAGACAAACCGGAGGACAGACCGGGAGCAGTATACAAGATCAAATGCTGCGACTGCCAGGCTTCTTACATTGGTGAAACCGGCAGAAACCTTAGCAAGCGACTGACCGAACACAAACGAGTGACGAGGAATGGTGACGTCAACAATCACATTGCTGAGCACCATTTACAGACGAAACATCAAATTGACTGGGCCTTTGCGACATGAATAACGTTATTCTACAGACTACTATCAACGTCTTACTTTAGAAAGCTGGTTTACTAACTTAGAACAAACGCCACCGAATCGTAGCCAACAGTTACCAGCGCCGTACAAACGACTTATTGACAAGATCAAGCAAAAGTAACTGCGAGAGAACGACTGGAGAACTGACAATTTGACTAAAAATAGACGACTGTTTAACTGTGACAATAGGCGGATCGAAACGCACCAATTACTGATTACGATTCTTCACAGCCAATAACATCACGGCTTAATTGACAGCCGACCAACAACATCGCGACGTAATTGACCAATCAAATCAATAACCAGAGTATAATACCATCAACTGACGTGATACAAGTCACATTGACTCTGAAGATGACTACCGTACAGGTTGTCGAAACGTCAGTCACTGTCAACAACAACAGTCCTATTCAGGACTACGTTCACCCGGACGGTCAAACTCAACCTACTCTTGAAATGACTCCCGGGTTCAAAACTTTCACATTTTTTTTTTGTTATTTTACGACTGATGTCAATCATTGTCAGTATTGCTTACTTTTCTAATCAGAAATGGCTATGAATGAATAACAACCATACCCGGAGAGGGATTCGGACGGATATATACAGAGAGACGCAAACTGTCGAAGTCATGAGCTTTCGTATTTACCAAATCCGTTGGATAGAAAGAAAAAGTAATTCTTTAAACAAAAGACGTCACTTAGTAAATGCTTTGTTTAAATTTTATTCAGTATTTCGAGGATTTGTCGAGTATATTATTATCACCATTAAAAAAAATGGACTTTTACCCGCTATTAAAATAACATCGACAAGCCAAATTTCGTCGTTTTTTGGTATTTGTTGGTACAACTATCGCTTGTCGCTAGAATGTCGTCTTCTAAAACTGACGCCAAACACGACGCCATATTGATTAACGCCCTTGGGATATTCCAAGTTACGGAAGTCAATCAAAACCCACGAAACTTGCTTTTTACTGATTTGGCAAATACTAATAATGGACAGTGCCGAGGACAAGAAAAACGAGAATATTTTGTTACTTTCTTTACTTAAAACTCTTACCGTTAAGAAGGTGGTTCTTAACATGTTCTACGTCGCCTTCACTATCGTCCAACGTAGTGACAATCCGACGAAAACACTTTTCTTGATCCTCAGGAGCGAGTTTTGCTAACTCCCTAAAAAAACTTTCCTTAGTCTCTCCGGTCGGGGGCAAAGACAAATGGTCGTCGTAAATACGCCTTTTCCCAATATCTTGTAACACACCACTGCATGCAGTAAGCATGCCATCGACGCCGGTGAGGTTGGCGCAATGTAGGATCTCGTCATGAAAGGGTAAACCAAAGAATTCGATCGGTGTCTTCTGCGAAGAAAAACCGAATGGTGAACTGAGAGTGATTTTGAGACCCGTGTGTCCCGTATCATCAACAGATGTGAAACAAATAAAATATCTGTCCTTGTTCACTGTACAGGAATAATTAAAGTGTTGCCATGCAAACCAAAGAAAGATATTGTTTCAAAAGTATGATTTCTTTTATCAATGTTTTTTTCTTTAAAGCAACCAGAACTATCCCGGTTTAGGCTCATTGAAAATCGTGGTCTACTAATAATAGATAATCTCCACCGCCCTGGTATCAGTTAATTGCCACAGTGCTAATCCACCGTACGGAAAAGATGGCGGTTGTATATTTTACCACATTTACCACATTTTACACGACCAATTACACATAAAGTCATATTTTTTTTGGCGAAATTCGTCCTTGTAACAGCAACATTGCCTATCCTAGGTTTGAAAATATAAAACTCTTCTGTGCGTTTTTATGATCAATTTTAGGGCTTTCATGCGCTAAGAATTATGGGAAATGTACCAGTCGCCATCTTTTTAGTTAATAATAATATGATAATAATAAATAAATATTTATAACGCGCCTTTTCCATGCAAATATTATCAAAAGGAAATAAAATTTTATAGGTACGGTGAATTGAATAACAACACCTACGTCAGGGTCTCTTTGTTGAGGAGGAACAGTTACCTCCATTTCACACAACAAATTATCTTCATCTCGATCGCGGCTGCTGCAGAACTCAACTGTCAAGGCCCCACGTCTCATAACATAAACCGGGACATTAGTCCAATTATAAGCTTGATCAGGAAAGCTGGAGAAAAGAAAAGGAAATAACATTTTATAATAACTGAACTGGTAGAGAACTATGTTTGATAAGGGTACAAGGCCCGTCGTTAAGTTTAACCCATGATTAACCCAGATTTTAAGCAAGGTTTTCCTGTCTAAGAACGTCACTCGAGCTTACAAAATACTGTGGCGTCTTTACTTCGAGATTTAGTGAGATAACACAGATTGTCACTCTAAGCAATGCATAGGAAGGTAAATAAAAAAAGGATCAAAATTTTTAATCCTGGATTAGCGCTAGCCGCGGTAGGGGCTCGTTTGAACGGATCCGCCATGTTGGCCCAACTTCATCTAAAACTGTTGGATGGAAAATATTGCATATATGACACTGAAGTACTTTTTTAGATGAAGTAGATTCAAGATTCAAATCGTCAGATTTGTCCATATAGGCCCTGAGATACAATTTTTTTTCTTACCGAACGAACTTTCCTGGTCTTAAGGTTCTCACGACGTCTCCTGAAAGAAAAACATATGCTCTGTCTTCGGGATTCATCGGTTCCATAGAACATTCATCCCCTAACCACACATTGCCCAGCCTCGATTCATCGTCGTGAAGCTTTCCTCTCTCGTTCACTGGACTGCAAAACAACCTGAGGTTTGTATTTGTATTAAGGCGGGCATCCTTTGAAACATAGGCTGCAAAAAATGCTGCTTTCCGTACTAGTCTTGTATCGCGAGACATTGCTTCTCGCAGCCAGACCATAGGCTGTGCGCACCATTCGAGCCAACACCAGAACCTGTGTTGAAATAATCACGGATTTTAATGCGCGGTTAGCACGAGAGATCGGTTAAAAGCTATGAAGAAAATTAGAGAGAGGGATAATGGCAGCAGGAAAGATAGCGCCCATCAAACGCTTACGTTTTACTGCCTTACGCGGGTAAAATAAACTGTTGCTTTTCTGCTCAGGCACTTACGACACTTGACTAAAGATCATAAAAAAAAATTAAAAAAACTCTACCTGGGAGAACTTTCAATTTCGTGAAGGCAGTTGAGGAACTTCTTTGCATTCTAAGACAATGCTCAGAAGAGCCTTTATAAGTCTTAAGACGGTTATTAGACCATACATTTTTAACAGTGTATGTAAGAAGGATATTTATCTGTTAAGGCTTATCCGCACAGTGGAGACATGTCGACGAAAAAAAAGGGGCAGTATGTGAACCCCCGGGGGTACTCCCCATAATGGCGCATAGTGAGAGGCTCCGCCCGAAAGGGGTTCCTTTTATCGGGCTTCAGGTAAATGAAAGAGTGGGGATTTCATTAGTTGAAGTATATATGAGAATTGAGAAATCTTTCATTTCGAACTGTAAAAGGACCTAAAAAGGTTGACAGAGGCATTTTATTGCAGTCAAAAAGTCAAGAAAACTTTGTTGTTTGGTGATGAATTCACTCTTTAAAAAGAGTGCATTTACAGCGGTTCGAAGGATGCAACGTTCTAAACAAGGTACGTGAAAGGGGTGTCAAATGAAGGTATACGAAAGGGGTACCGTTTCTATCAAAAATGGTGTATAAAAGGGTAAGGGGTTGGACTTCGGGGCGGAGCCTCCCTGTATAAACTTTATTGAGTAGCCCCCGAACATGAACCCGAGACCTCTGGATTGCAAGCGCAGCGCCCTTACAACCAGGCAACCAGGGCTGTTAATAAGGGCCAGCAGCCGGCCAAAACCACCGGCTAGTTAGCCATCCTTAGCAGGCTACTTTCATCTCCTTCTACCATAACTGCTGACAAAAAACAGGCACCATTGAATAAAATTGTAATGCACCCGTTTCCCAGTTTTAAATGACATTGAACGCATATTTAAACAGGTTTAGATCTGTGAAACATTCGAACAGTGCGATGTCGTGGAACGCCTGGGACATTTCGACGGCATTGTTCCCAGCCTTCCGTGTATTCTGACGAAACAACATGGCGTCCGCGGTGAAATATACCTCTTGAAAACCCCCTGGAAACACCGTATCCGAGGATCTAAATTTCACAATATCCCTAGATGCTTCGGCTGTCAAGAACTTATGCCTTTGGTGCGAGTTCAAAAGCCGCTTACTATTCATTATCAGCCTGTTACTACAAGACTTTTTGACAGCCCTGGGTCACGCCTCCCTAATATAACAGTAATACAAGGTACATACACAGAAAAGTGCGTGACGCTGAATTCAAACACCATTCCATCACAACTTGCAGGCGTGACAAGGCGGTCGGTGATGTCAGTCCATTCCTGGTGTTCAGAAGCTGACTCTTGAAAAAAGATCCGAACGCGACACGTTGACATGTCAGGAGCTGGACAGCTTTCCTCCCTGAGAGATAATGGTAGCTGTATGGTTACAGGCTGCTGAAACTGCAGTGTGTCAGGGCTTGTGATTCTGAGTATAGGGCCAGCCCATACATCCTTCCCCTTAAATTCTTTTTGATGAATTTCCTGCAACTAATCACAAAGACAAAGAATATTAGAAGGTTGTAAAATTTGTCTTTATCACTATTTTAGTTAAAATGTAGAGGTGATCTGGGACAGTAATTCAAGAGCTTGTTTTCATTTATTTATTTATCAGTTTTTATACACTTGATCTACGCGTCAAGCTTAACTGCAAACCAGGGGTCAAGTAAGTTGAAAGGTTTTTGAATAGTAGCTTCAGATATGAAGAATTCCTCCTTTTGATCACTCTTAAGGGAGCTAGATAGTATGGAAAATCAGCACGGTGTTGACAACAGTAATGCTTTTCTTTGTCTCCTTCGTAGTCGTTCTTTGGGTCGTCACGCAACGCACCTTCACATGGAGGGTGACGAGCGTTGCGTGACGACACTAAAATGGCTGCGTAAGAGACTATGCCTTACCCAGCGTTATGGAGGAATTATTAACTAACCTTGACGACGATATGATGCTCTTCGCCTTTCTGTACAGCATTTTCAGGAATAGAAACATTAAAGAGTGGATGCTCAGGGAAAGAAAGGACTTTTCCCTCTGAAGTAAGAGTGAACTCGTTCGATTTCAGACGGCAAACAACTGCAAACGTTGAGCACCGTGTTACTTTAAACTCAGCAACCGGTAGAAAATAATCAGGAATATCACTTGATGAGGCAGGGATGTCTGTAATGAAAAAAACGCAGTATTCCAGTTTAGTGATGCAGTCAAACCGGTTCTATTGAAAGAAAGCCGGTATAAAACGGCCATTTAGCAATTATTGAATGAGTATGAAAGGTGGATAACACACTCCAAGATCATTCCTTTTTAATTCCAAGTTTAAAAGCAAGCTAAAACATGCTTACCTTGGTCATATCGATATTGCATCTTTATCGAGAAGTTTAGGAGATAAAGGGCTGTTCAGGTCTGCAAATATGTTTCAAATAGCAGATGTCATCCGTCGAATTGTCTTCTTGCTGTTCTTGCCATGTTTTTAGACCATAGTTCGCCGTGAAACAAGTAAAATGTTCTGCCATTACTAACTTCGAAAACAACCCAAACTCCTCCCCAGGTTTTCTCGGTTAACGGTTCAATAATCTGCAACTTTGCTGCGCTTTTGACCTCATCGGTTCAATATGGCAAGGTTCTTCCAAATTTTGTCAACAGTAGCTGGTTATGATGAATTATGCGTGTGATTTTAGCCAGTCAGAAATGGAGAAGTATTTTGAATGAATAATAATCTCTATCACGCAATGACTCTCTATTTTCCAACGTTCTATAACCAAGTTATGATTTTTTTCTTTGTTTGACTTTATTATACGGTTTGATCTAAGTTACCTAATTATTTCAACAAAGAAACTCAGGTGAAAACGCCCCACGAAAGACTGCTCTTTCTGCAGCTCGTCAAACTATTAATCTATAAATAGCTGTTCTACAATGCCAAATAAAACTGCTGTTGCTGTAAATTGTAAATATCATAACTATTTTCCACCCCCCAAAGGGCTTTTCAGGGATAATTTACAACACTGGTTAGGGGACTTTTGCCAGACTGCTTGTGTTGCAGTTTGTAAGTTAAGGATATTGCCCTAAGTGAGAAGTAAGTGTTGACGTTGGCTTAGGAGAGGAGTAGGTGAGCAGTTTCAATGATCCAGGGATCATTATACGTTTCTGGGAAACTGCCCCCCTGCCCCTCCCCTAAGCCTACATTTTGCCCAAAGTGAGAACTAAGTGTTGATCTTGACTTAGGGGAGGGGTAGGTGGGCAGTTTCCCAGAAACGTAAAATGTTTTGGAATGAGTAATGATGATCCCTAGCTAGAGAGTGTGAATTTGAGATAGACCACCACACCGAGGAATACGGTTCCTACGTCATGAACTAATGACGTGAATGTCTCGTCAGCGCCTTTTCCTTACCTGCTAACGACCGCATGTGAACAGTCTCAGAGATGTCACTCCACACGTTAGTATCGCTGTCAATCAACATTTTCGCAACAACCTCATATCCTTTTATATCTGCCGCACAATGGGAAATCACCAGTGTCACAGCTTTGTTAAACTCAAAACCTTGAGCGCTGTCGGTCGATAGTTCAATAATGCCACTGACCAGAGCTTCATTGTCGTTCAAAGGAGGGGAACAAACCGATGAATTCCATCTAAGGACAGTTACTGTTTGGTCTTCAGATACAGCATCAGGAGGGAATGTAACGTGTGCGGCCACTTGTTTAAGATTCCAGTGGGTACCTTGCTTAGACACCTTATCCCTTAGAAATAAAAATAAAATAAAATAAAGTTTTGTGAAGCAACTACAGGTGAAATAGGCCAACTTTTTTCAAGTTGAACTATTCCGCCGTGGAAAAAATAACAGGAAGATGCTTACTAAGCTAAAATATCAAAGTTGGAAACACGACATCACATAGCCCTTTTCAAGCCGACATATTGGCACTTGAATCTTTGCCTATAATGGCTTAAACTTCCGTTGCTAAGTTCGCCCACCTAGTTGTGGGTATATCTATCTGTAAACAAAAGATACATCCGGTTATAATTTCCCTGGGATATAAGCCCCCTCTAGTTTGCACAGAGATGAATTCGATTTTTTTTAATCTTAAAAAAGCGAGAAAATTCAAAAAGTATTTTGATCGACACTGCTATGTAGCTTTTTTTTAGTATGGTTATAGCCAACAACCTCCCCACCCCCCCCCCCACCCCCCCCCCCCCCCCCCTCGTGAGCCCTCTTAAAACCCTTACGAAGTTGAATAAGCCAAGACCTTATGAGCGGAAGTTGACGGTATCCGCCTTAGGAAGATTTTACTGAATATCACATTAAAGTACTTACTTGAATACAACGATATAATCGTCTTTAACTGGAGTTCCGTCTTCAGACTCTAATTCAACCTTTTCTTCAGGCCCACTCACAATCATTTCTTGGGATCCTTCTTCAACTTCTTGCTCTGGCAGGGTTACAATGTCCTCTTCTGAACCTACTGTGGTCAATTCCTCAGATGATTCTGTCCCAGAAGCCGCCGCAGTTACCGCTTCAACGTCTCCTTCAGCTTCTACTGCTACTTCCTCTTCTTCTTCAGCTTCTACTTCTTCTTCTTCCTCTTCGCCAGCATCCGACGAGGATTTTTCGAGCAAAGAGCTCATCTGTACTTGAAGGACTTGAAATTAAAAAAATAATAATAAAAATAAAAAACCGAGATAACGACGAGTTTTAGGTTTCTTTACTTAGCGGTATTTATTGTCAACAAATGTGTTGTTAGCTATCGTACCTAGGCCAAACCTCGTAGTACAATGGAAAAAGCCTTTACCCTAAGAGTCGGGTTATTCAAACGAAGTCCGTGTTAGATCGCGGTTTAAAAAATCTTTGGACATCCAGATCTCAGGTCTTTCTTAGTGCGTTATTTTAAGAAGACAAATGCTTTTCCAGTCTACGCTATTTGCTTTCATGAAACTGTTCACGATAAATGGTCTTTGAATAAAAGCGTGCGGGAAACTGAAAATAGCTTAGGGCGCAGTTTTGTTAAACACTGGCTAATCTCCGTTTAAATAACTGGCCCTAAAAGTTAAAAACTGGATATGATATATATCATATTCATGAGGTAGATATTTCTGCCGCTCTGATTCCTGTCCGAGGAGTAGCATCCAAGTAAACAGTTATAAACGTGTGGCATTCAAATCTTAGATCAGAGAACTAACTGTAGATCAATTGAGGTTTCTGTGTAACTGAGCACCTACCCCTCCCCTAAGTCAACATTAACGATTACTTCTCACCTAGGGCAAAATTGTGACTTAGGGGAGGGGTAGGTCCACACCTGCGTCATCACCCGGGTATCGGTATTACCAAAAGCCTTCTTAAATGTCTTTTTATTTTCTTATAGCTCTTTTCCCACCCTGCTGGCAGAGCATTTCTTTCACCTCCTCGAATTCTGCGTTCTCGAGATGTATGAATCGAGTAAGATCTTTGTTGAGCATGTACTGGTTCTTTCTATCATACAGTTTCAAAGCCCGGATCCCGTTTCTCGAGAGCCCCGCTAACTTTTTGCGCCCGTAAACAAATATTCAAATCGAAATAAAAAGAATAAGAGCGCGGGTCCTGGCAAGCAATCTACTCCATTCTGTTTCATTAACTGATAGTTTTATCATGTTAGATGCAAAACTATTGAAACCTCGATCTTTAATGTCAACGGCAACAGCTTACCGGGCCCGTTAATTATTTCGAGAAACGGGCCCCAGGTCAAATTGTGCTGCACTTGGCACAGCGGACTCAGTGATGACCATAGGTCTATCTGTAAACAGATGCTCGCACTCAGAAAGCAGTTTGACAAGATTGTTTGACATAGCTCACTTCGGAAAAGAGTGATAGCCTGGAATCCAAACTAGGCGCGCACGCATTTATGGGATTTTTTTGGGGGGGGTGGGGCACGAAAGTAAACAAACATGGCGGAAAGCGAAGTGGAATGTTTCAGTGGGGTTAAAACAGTTCAAAATAGAAAAACGGAAGGTGGAATTGAAAGAAAAATAAACATGAAAATGTGACGCTGAAGGAACACGATGTGCCTGGTGCAATTTCACCAAAAAAAAAACAACAACAACAACTTGCGTGTCTCGTCAAGGTGGTTGCTCGACTTGTCTCCCCAAACAATCCCATAAATGAGCGCGCGCTTAGTTTGGGTCCCAGGCTATCACACTTTTCCAAAGGGAGCTGTAAAGAACAAGATTGATTAATTATTATTTAATAAGAAATCATCATAAAGTGTTACCTTTCGGTCTTAGAGAGGCGCTAGACTGTTTTTTCTCCCTCAGATCCTATAAGGGAAAATTTGTTAAGACAAAACGGATTAGAGCTAAAGTATCGTACAAGACAAAAGACACAACGGATTTTTTGTAGGAAAAAAATGATTGAGTTTAATGCTATATTTAGGTCCGTCATTTTTGCGGGTTTATAACCCTTATTGTTTATTTACAAGATACACTTAAAATAACATTTACAATATAGCATGAGATGTAAAAAAAAAAATAACATATAAAATAATAAGCAAGGCATAGTCATAAACACCCAGTAACTGACTTTCAAATTTTGCCAAAAATACCTGTTTGATTGATTATTGGATTTTCAAACACAAAAATTCATTTAAAAAAAGTGCTGTGCAATGTTCGTTCTCAAACCAACGTTACGTAGAATTCATGAAGGTGAGAATAAAAATATCTCTACACCACCGAAAATATGTTATACAGTGAAAAACCGTTCATCAGAAACTATACAAAGTGATTTAAAAAAGACCCTACGGGCTAAACGTAGACCACCATTTAAAACAAACAAAACAATTGCAGCAAAAATCTTGCGCAGGTTTCCTCAGTCGTAACTGGTAAATCAAGGAAAATACAACGACATAAAAAAAAGAATATCAGTAACAAGCAGTAAAAATTAGTGGAGAGTGGTCGTCTGCTCAGAATGAGATCTTATTAAACATAACAATAATTTTAAGTCTTATAAAGGACGAGACTATACACCAATTAATGACAACTCATTTCCCTCTTAAAATATAAGAATCTTTTTATAAAGAACCTAGTGAATATCCTACACTCTGTGTAGACTACAGTAAATGCCCAAAATAGGAGAACTCTTTACCGTCAAGTTGGAAAATGGTAGGTTATTACAGTAAAGGTTATTAACCCTAAAACTTTACCTTTAAGGCAGCAAGGTATATTTTCACTCTTTCTGTTTCTCCAATCGAAGAAGCCAGCTCTTTTATCTCATTAAGAAACTTCTTCATAACAGAAGG